ACAAAATAGCATGTGATATGAAGCATATGGTTAGTTATATTTAAAATTCCACAGCATTTAGATTAAAATACGTGTATTTTAGTTAGAATGCATTTTATCATAATCTATTTTGAAGGAAAAAATATATACATGCAAATACAAATATAGCTGATAGAGATCGCCTTTGCCATAACAAATAATAAAAACTATTAAATAAATAAATACGTGCTCATTCGACAATATTCAAGAGGTTAATTTCGATTAATGAATGGAAACTAACATCGAATACTTTAACACTTATGGGTTCCTTGGATGCATTAACTTTGTGTCTTTTTTTATTGAATACTTGGGTTGGGGGAGGTTATAGAAAACTGTTATTTCAATTTTATTAAATATCACATTATGCTTGGAAAATGTTACTATCACCATGTCCTTATTTCGACCTCTGTAAAGTTACATTCTCCTTGTCACGTAAACTCATTGTAATTAGTTAGCTACACAGACGGAAACAAACCTTGATAATGTCCACCTTACGAAACCTCCCAACCCGGCTATGCCGATAGCAATTATTCTTTTCCAACATGAAATGTTCTTAAACTCATTCTTTGGCCGCTGACGCAAACGGAAAGGAAAGCCCACTTGTCATGCGAGGGATCTCAGATCTCGGAAATAGATCTGAAACGGTTGATGCGATGGCAATCCTCACAAAGATGCAGATTTATATCCTGCTAAATCATGTTAATATTGAAGAATCTGCTTTTAATATGATTAGAAGAAAAGGGATTCTCAACACGAGCTCAATTTAAGACAATATCCGTGTGACCTTAAGATAGAGACAATCGAGTCGATTCGACATGGATAGCGCACCATGTGATCACTGCAACGTTCACATTGCTCATAATTCTTGGTTCGTGTATCCGTTGTTTGATGTTTGTTTGCCTATGTGAACCTTATTGAAGAAACATTAGATATGAACTTGCCACTCTTGACCCAGGAGGGATACAATGGGTATGTTCTATACAGACCCATCCAATAGAGGAAGAACTTACTGTAATGCTTAAGCACCTTTTCATCATGGCCAATCGGTTGTCTTCAGGGTATCGATAGTATTCGGCGCTTTGTATCTTCAAGGAAAAACGTATGATAAATCCAACAATCGATATCATCACAATTATTATCATCAAATAACCTGACGGTTGCAATAAATTACTCTATACAATGCCAACTCATTTTAATAATTGCATTATCAAATATGTTAAATCTCTTCATGAAGACAACGCACAGATAGATTATGTATGTTATGAAACGTGTTTTGTACTTCCAAACGTAGTATTGCATTGCAAATATGAAGGCCGTATCCCAGGGTCATTAACAACTTATATAATACAAGCCAGTTTTAACCATCAAATTCGAAAAATAGATCAGCAAAAGTAGAGCAGTTGAAAAATAACAGTGAAGGGAGAGTGAGGAACGGAATTCCTTTTACAGACTCTCTCTGTATGCTCTGTATAGCTGCTCACCACAAGGAGATCGTCTTACAAAATTGAAGGCAGTAGGAACGAACCTTAAAGCGCCTAATTGGGGGGAGGAGTTCAATGTTACTGTTTGGTCGATGGAATCAATTGTAAATTGAATAAAGAAAGGGACTTATCGAAGCTAGCTGTCTCTCTCTCTCTCTCTCTCTCTCTCTCATCCTCTTTATAGAGTGACACGAAACTGCTCAAGTTCATTATAGACAGTATTGTGCAGTCAGTGGCGAATCTAGGTGTTTTGCCCTGGGCAAGCATTTAAATTGCGCACTCCCTACCCTGCCCGCTCAAACTTACCTACATAACTGTACAAGTGAGCTCCTAAAACAAGACGTGCGAGAGGGCTAAGCGACCGAGCTTTAGTGAATTAATGTTCGCATATTAAACCTTCACAAAAAAATTTCCATAATATACAAATCACCCTTCGTATTGCGGGCGCACAATACCAAATGATCTAGCTTTTTCTTCCTCATGTTCTCTCTCTCTCTCTCTCTCTCTCTCACTCTCCGCCTCTCTCTATCTCTCTTTCTTTCTCTCTCTCCGTTTCTCTCTCTCTCTCTCTCTCTCTCTCTATCTCTCTCTCTCTGTTTTTGCGCTCCCTTCAACTGCCGCTTGGGGCACGTGCCCCATGTCACCCTCTACGCGCGATTCGCCACTGGATAGTGCTGACTATAGAATGTACGTTCATTGTCCACCTTTTATAAGCCTAACATAGACATGAATGAAAGGGGAACAATTTTATGTTCATTTCTTTATCATTATTTCTAACATGAGTAAATATGAAAAACACTTTGTGTTGTCTTATGTCATACCAGCACACCATTTACTTGGAGATGATAATCAAATGATATCAACGAAATAAATAAAGAAATAAAGAAATATCGTTACCTCTTCATTTCCATTACACTTAAAATCAGACTGAAGAATCATAATTATAAATCTGATATGATAAAATAGTTGTAGGAGATGTAGGGTGTGACGGAGGGTTCAAGGACTTATTGACGAATGAGGGCGCTATTGTTTTAATATGAACAGAGCCATCTTCAGTATGTGTATAGATGGCTATGAATATGACCAGAGCCCTCCGATAAAACTCTTGCTATGAATGATTTCAACTTCTCTGGAAACAGACTTGTACATGTAATTTACGACTGTTATCGATGTTCAAAATCAAAATTCAATTTCTGCATGTGATGTGACTTTCCTTTTTGTACTAAAATTGAATTACATAGGTCTCAGAACTTAGAAAACAATGACTTACGCCTTTAAAAAGTCTCGTAAAATACAAATCATTTCATTTCTTAATTCGACCAGTTTCCATCTACCGAAACTATCCTGTTTTTTTATAAATTTTGTGTCCGACCAATGATATTTCAAAATTAGCCTAATTAAAACTGACAACTGTAAAACTTATCTGTACCGGAGAGTTATTAATTTAGTTATGTAGGAACTCGTGTAATTCAATTTGAAGAAGGGGTGGTGCATCCGAGGGGAAAACTTTTCCTTTCCACCGCATTAGCACCCATTGACACGTGTAATTCTCAATTCATTTTCACTTTGAATATCTATTACTAACTTGTATCTAACAAGCACAATATTTGTTTGCTAGCGTCGTAATGATGTTGAAAATAAGAGTCTCATCACTTAGAAATAAGAAATTAAGAGGAATAAGTCTGAGGAATACAAGTTGTCAAATTTTTACTTCAACCAATTTACCAAAATATATCAAAAATAATGATTATGCGAGTATCTACTGATATTATTTTAAGAGAAATTCCATAAATTATGTCAACAGACATGAAAAAAATGGCAACATCTCAACAAATTCTCAATACCAAATCATAAAACTGTACCTCAAATCAGAATATATAATGTTGAATTTTGCACAAAAACACTACACACAAAAACACCGAGGCCATTCGCAGTAAAACAATTTATTTTACTTTTCTCTAAATCAATCATTTTTGTTTCGCTTTATGTCTAGTATAATAATATGATAATCTATACGCTGTCAAATATTCTTAAGCTACAATCTCTATCTAAATCACATATTTATTGTAAATCAACCCTTATTCATTCAGAGTATCTTTTCTGTAATTGCTGTTAAATGTTTTCAAAACGTAGATCATTATCAATTAAAACAGAAATATGCATGTTCTGGGTTCGTTTTGTATACCGTGTTGTCAAAACGCGTTTTTTTCACACGGAAAAACTTGATCAGCTACTAAAATTTCGTCCCTCCGGTGCTAAAAATGCGAAGAAGGAAGCTTCCGAGATAATAAGAAGATAGTAGGTGTCCAATTACAGTTTGGCCGAAATCTCAAGACATGCAGAGTCCCTGTCTGGACAAGAAGAGGGCTTCGTAACAAATTAAGAAAGTGGTCAACCATTATTATGTTCAAGGCCTTGATGTTTTTAGAGAATTTTTTTTTAATTCTGCACAGTTCAGTCGCTTCAACCATTTTTTACCACGACGTATTTCAACGAAGGTTGAAGACCTGCGGTACATCCACCAGAACCATGCATATGTCTGGCTCAACGTTCTTTCTCAAATGTTTTTCATATTTTTTGCAATTATGGATAGTGATTGTTTGATTGTAACCGGCAATCACGCCCAGCTACTCGGAAGTCCGGGTCTAATACACGCTACCTGTTTACGTCTAATGATACTCCTCCGTCCTCCGATACCCGGCTATTCGGGGTCGGTTTCTCGACAAGTGATGCGTCCTTTATCAAATGCCAAATGCGAAGTTTAATACATATATTCCTTTTGTAATCGTCTATATACACCAGAATACTTGACTTATTGATACATGATCATGATAATGGTATGAGCATGAACACATTAGTTTTTGTGATTATGACAAAATATATTATAAATTAAAAATGTGAATTCTGCCTGAAACTGATTAAGAATTGGAGGTAAAATTTATAAGTAATGCCTAGCATTAGTAGATAGGAAAATGATGATGAAGGCAACGTCATGTCGGTAGAAAGAGATAGAGGTGAATATTAAAAGACATTTCGTTTAATACAACGCCTGTTAATATACTGATTGTAAAAAACCATAATGTAATTGAAATGCTTTTAAATGCAAGAGCGCAAATTGTCGAATGAAGTTTAACCTACTATTTTAATATTTTTTTTGTGTGTAAGCTTTTCTCAGTTGTCAAGTCTGTTTTTATCGTACACAAAAAATTCACATGTAACTTCAAAGTAAAACAAAATTAGAGCACAAGCACATGCTATGATTTGAGAGAGCCTATGTTTTGATAACATGCAAGTAACCTACATGAGACACAAGTTGTGACCATGTCTTGAGAAACCGGCCCTTGTTGATTGACTACTACCGTGCTAATTAGGCCAAAGGGATGACGAGTATACACCCTCTCATAACAATAGAGAGAAACACTGGAGAAGAAAATACGCTAAAAACACGCCATCCTGCCCGGGCCGTATACATAGGAAATGGCTAAAGGAGGGTGTCACTCTCTCATGCACGATACATCGAGGAAAATACTCATTTTCGAAGTAATTATTAGTCAACAATAACGAAGGATAGTGAATCTTAGGGCTCATTAGTGACAAATATCTGGTGAATCAACTCCACGTGACAAGGTTAAGGACTATTCGTTTGGACCCCAATGCGGAAGAGTCTGCATGCAGAGTCGTACGTGCTTCTCTGGGTCTATCTGGGAGAAGTTTCTTATTCCTACCAATTCATCCATCAAGGGTTTTCCTCTCGAGAAATTAAAACGTCTGGTCGCTGTATTTGTGATGGTCAGAGAGACTAAGATATTATCAGCAAAGAGAAAATGATGTCAGGAGTGGGATACGAGACAAGATGGCGTCTGTTCTCCTTGGCTCTCGTGTTGCATATTCACCTCCACTCGCTGTGTGTGTCCGCCAGCAGTTATCGTCTGAACCCCGATGGACGAAATGTTTGTTCCACAACCCGACGGTGAGACAACGTTTTTATTTTTTTTTAATTTATTTTATATGTGATTGTGATGTCAAACTTTCCACATTGCATACTTTTGTTACGTTACATTATGTCAATTTTTCTCTCTCAAACTTTTGTTTTGTACTCTGTAGGCCGTCTAGAAAGACACAGGGTCAAGTAATAAAAAAACGACCATCTCATCATCATGGGTCAAAGAATATAATGGGATGACTGCTTGTTTGTTTGCTATATTGTTAATGTACACGCTATCGATACAGAATCTTTTGAAACATTGTGCATAGAAACTGATCTTACTGACATCTTTAAGAAGTATTTTCATTTTCCATGCGCATACTTATCAACAGGGTTAACGAAATAACACATGATAAAGTGACTCTTGAAAGATTTAAATAGAAATTACTGGTTATGCTATGATTTGTTTACCTTGGTCATCCTCCATGCTGTGTATAGTAAAGACATTACGATATATTTTTATATAAAGTACTCTTTACTGTCATTTACTTTTTAGGTTTAAGGTTCACTACACTAATAAAGGTTTTAATTCATCAGACTGAAAAGCAATATGATGATGATTATGTAAAGTAATCAAGCACTCTGGTGTCTCATGAGAGTTTGATTACATGTTCGTATAGATGGTTTAATAAAGTGACTAAGGTACAACAGAGTGTAAATGGAGTACATCTGTTACTATCAAATATTCTCGTCCACTCTGAATTGATGTATCTTGGGCGTGTTCACCTCCCCATCTAGGTGACAGAAATCATCATTTTGCTCATCATCTACCCCTCATATTAAAAAGGTTCTATATTCCATTCTTTCCTTATCATATTCATGATGGATAGAATTGTCTTGGTAAATCAATTTTACAGCAAAAGAAATTGTAATTTAATTCCTTTCTTCTTGTCAATAAAATTACCAAGAAATACGACAAGATAGTTACACTGAAGAAGCCTGATGTCACGATGTATTCCGAGGTCTGTCCTTACCATGTCATTCCCTCATCTTGAAGAGGCTGAATCATGTGGTATCCCACTGTTTTCAAAATACTGTCTACGGCAGAAAGAGAAGAATCTGCCCTAAGATGAAGATTGTGAGTCAGGGTTATATCCTGCTTAGACAAATTTATTGAATAAATATGACATCTAAAACGCCCATTGGCTTGGTCGAGGACGCTCTATGACTTGCCAAAAAACTTATTTTAGTTCACCCAAAGTACTTTTATTTTCTTTTAAAATATAGCTTACTCTCTAATACCACACACCATGAATAATATTTAAACAAAAATATGATAATAATAGTCAAACAATCGTTCCCATTAGGATCTTTACTTCTTAGGGAATTATAATTCTCTTTATTCCGTTATATCCAAAAGGGAATGAAGCCGTATCAAAACATTAGCTTACCGAAAATGAAATCAGATAGCCTTAAAATCCTTGGAGTACGAGTGTACTTTTTGAAGACGCATGGTAGGAAGTTGACAAAGCTATGGTAGATCATGTTTCATCCCTCTCAGACTACATGCGGCCATTGTCAAGGATGATCTGATTGATTAATGTAGAAAGAAAGAAGCAATGAAAACAACCTACGATAGGAGGCAGTTTCTTCTGTAAGAAAAACATATTGAATCTACATTGTCATTTTAAAAGTTGAACGAGCTCACAAGATCCATCATGAAGTTCATCAGAAAATTACGGGAATTATGTTATCTGCTACCAACAACTTTTAGAGGTTAATTCTTTTTTTCTCTTATTTATAATTGATGTATACCCATGTAGATATAGGTGTAAAAGAAGTACTCTCAACCATATGTTTCCACCTAGACATAATATAAAGTACACCGCACAACAAAATGGATTCACATTTAACATACCTATCCCTCATTCTCTCAGTATGTCTATCTCTATCTGTCTCTCTGTCTCTGTACCCCCCTCTCTTTGTCTCTCTCTCTCTCTCTCTCTCTCTCTCTCTTCCTCTCTTACTTTCTAATTAAATATAACATTTGTACCAGAAGAAAATTGGTATATCTAATGGGACACTATATAAATATGATTACACCCCTAGTTTCCAAGCGATTCATATTAATACTAAATCATCTTTTGCAAGAAAAATAAACCTTCTTTGGTGTGATTCCACATTATTCTTACTAATCGTTTTAATTTGATTTCAACCAACTCAGAATACAAGAGTTCCAGTTCTTACCGGAGCTGTCACACTCGTCATACCAGAATGAACCGGTGGGTGACTACGACTCCGCTGAGGAAGATAAACTTAGAGAAGGAGGTATAAGGGGGGCCCCCACCAGGTGAGAAAATACCACTGCCCTAATGGGATTATTTATATAAAGCAATAGCATTTTCATATTTTCGGGGGAAATGCTGTCACACATTCGAAATTAAAGGAATAATTCTTGTCAATGTAACCAAGGGATTTATTTCTGTTAGGCCAACATAACAAGGAAGGGGCGCCGATATTGGAGGGCAAAGGTCTGTTCCCTCCGATAATTTCGGAATACAGTGTTATTAAATTGGGCCAACTACCCCTTATAACATGTTTGCCATATCTCCCTCGCACATTCTCCCCAACAGGCTGATAGGATGTCTATGCCTCATGGTAATGATGATGGGGATTCATGAAAAGAAAAGAAAAGGATCTGGTAGTCATACTCATGGTGTGTCTATCAGATGCGAACTTAAAAGAGGATGATACAAATATTCAACTACGTAAATCAACACTACAATTGTCGGAGTAAACAGCAAAACACTGCACAATCATTGTCATTTTCTCATCTCATCTTTACACACATTTCTTATATTTGATTTGTTATTATTTTATTAAACTAATAATGACAACAACAGTAGATACCATCTGTGGGAGCCTCCCCCAACTTTTGTTGAACCAAGTATTTTCACAAAACTTCGGAGTTCAGCGCACTATATACAGGTCTTTGCCCTCTCGAGTTGTTCCGGTCAAGACAACCAAATTTATCTTGACAACTTTAAATTAGCGAAGGTCGTTGCCATCAGAGACCTAATGGCTTATAAAAGTGATGATGGTCAACTACGCGATTGAAATGCGTGATAGGGATTGCGGGAGTTTCACGTCTTTATAACAAAATGATTCGCAGGCTATTTCAATTGCTTATCGGAGAAAACCTCATCTAAGTCTCATACTAATTTTGAGGTTTACTGACATCATTTTGTTTCACGGTTATAGCCTGAATTCAAACAACAACATATTCACTAACTGGTTTAACAATTTCTATCACATATATTACTGCTGCTGATTCTATTACTACTATGTACTACTACTACTACTACTACTATGTACTACTACTACTACTACTACTACTACTACTACTACTACTACTACTACTATGTACTACTACTCCTACTACTACTACTATGTACTACTACTACTACTACCACTACTTGATGTAATCAAGTTAGAATATGTTAATTGATGTACTATTACCAGTCTCTTTTTTATGTAACAGATTATATCATGCTTTGTGTGGTTTTGAATAAAATGAACTGAACTGAACTAACACTGCTACCACTACTACTTTTACTACTTCTACTACTGATACTATTACAACTGCTATTAATAATGCTGGTGCTACTTCTACTACTACCGATGCTGCTGCTACTATCATTAACGACTACTACTGTTACTACTATACTATTCCTAATTATACCGCTTGTGTCAATTAATGAACACAAAAAAAAGATAAACCATCAACGCGTACAAATAACATGTTGACACGAAACAAAAAAGTGCTCTTTAATGTTTCTTTGAAAGGTTATCCTTGCACATCTTCATCAGGTTTCGTGTAATTCAGACCATGGTGAGGTACAAACATCATAGTAGTCGTTATCGTGAACATCCTTAAAGTATATGATCATGATGTCATCATGAAGACATACCGTGATAAACACTCTCTCAACCGACCCGGAAATGACTGGAGAGAAATGTCCATTCGGGCTATAATTACTTCCGGTCAGACTAGCCTCTCTTGCTGGCAAATATGTCATGCGATCGTCACAACATACAGACAACTTCTACTACTTGCTGAAAACATGTACATTGTATATGGCAACATAACACATTCCACGTCATTTGCAGAAGGAACAACAAATACTATTGTTGACATACAATATCAAAAATGCTAAGGTTAATATTGATCTTTGATTGCGGTCAGTCTAATAAGTTCTTTAAACTTCTCGGTCAGTTGTCCTCATGAGTCATTTTCAGTTTGAGGTCAAATTTTTAGAAATCCATTCATGAGATTACAGGAATTACTAATAAATAACTGTTAGTGAGGTGGTATTTTGTAGCAAAGAAGAGGTACAAGTATAGATATGGACATCAAATATACATTGTTGCAAACAAGATGTGATATTGTATGCATTTAATGGAATTTAATGTAAACGTTGTCGTTGTTAATATCTCATTTATGTCACTTTGTTGCTCTTGATCCATATTTGATCAAATATAGCTCTCTACTCTGTATTACAGATGTTTTTCTCATACACTTATTTCGAGCTTTCCTAGATTAAGCTTCTTCTTGTTTGATTTTGCATATTTCACTTTTCATTTTCAGGAACTCCCACTTGGTGATTGGAAAACAATATGCACGACTAATCAATCAGACTGTATATCACTGCTGTGAGGGTTGGCGATCAAATGGTAGAGATTGTCCCATAGGTGAGTAGAACAGCCCACCATCCTACCTTGCGTCTTCCTCTTCTTATTATTAACTTTTTGCCTCCTTCACTCCTGAAGATTCTTGCAGATGAATGGGGGAGGGGGTATGTGTGTCACAAAAGGCATGAAAGTGCAGAGTGTCATAATTATGTACGTCTAAAATGTTGCTCCTTGCATGTACTAAGAGATTAAAGCCTTAATACTTTGTATACAGTTATGAATACATGCACCGGCGACAATTGCTCCGCTCTCAACATCTTACACTATACGAATCATTAACTAAACTTAATCAAATCGCAACCCTAACCTTAACTCTATATCTTTGATTAAATAAATTTCGGAGCAATTGTCGCCAGAGTATACTTATTGATCATATGATGATGGAGCTGTACGTTCACATCTTACTGGACGACCTGATATTACTCTGTTCAATTTTTCTCACAAAGGCAGTTTTATTTTGTAGTCGGCAACTTAGTTCAATCAATGAATGGGTATTTTTGTCTTAATATCGCGTTTTGTGGTACAGCACGATTGACAACAAAGCAATAAAGTATGACATTCCTACAATTATTTATGGTTATAATTTTCGTTATCATTCAATTTGCGTAAAAGATATTCATCATGAATATTATTTTCTTCTTTTATCTGTTATAACGATGTAGCTGTGTGTAGTCAAGGATGCCAGCATGGAAACTGTACGGCGCCGGGTATGTGTTCCTGTGAACCAGGGTTTATGGTAAGTTTCTGGAGTCCAACATCAAATAATCACCATCCTCATTAGATTGCAATTCATGTTTATATCTGTTACCAAGTGCATTAATTCATTTTTACATCATTCCGATTGTAGGGGCTCTCTTTTTATCGTTTCATTGCCTTCATCGTATTTGAAACATCCTTCATTTTGGATGACGAATAATCGATCACAATGAGATACCAAAAACATGGCAATTAATATATCAAAGTGAAATTGAATTTGCGTTTAAGAACTTAACTTTATGCCAAATGTGTTCGCATAGATTTCAATCACATGATTCTAGTCTATAAATGAATCATCGTGGCTCGTTTGTTTCGTTTAGGGTATACGTTGTGAGCTCCCGTGCCCTCGTGGACGATATGGACCATTCTGTGAGCAACAATGCAACTGTGGGCAGAGAGAATGTGACCCCGCAATGGGTAGATGTACACCTGCTTGCCCATCGGGACACATGGGCCCCAAGTAAGTAAAGAGGACTGGAAAAGGTGGATGGGGGTGGTCAAAGTCAAATAGTAGGTGCAATATTTGTTTCTCTGTTTGTTTTAGTAGGTTTTATGAATTCCATCCATGTGGCTGAACAGTGGCCTAGTTTCGTAGAAAATAACATGAGGGGGAGTTGCCCCAATTGACTATCAAATTACAAAAAGAAAGAAACGTAGATAAAAACATAAAGAAAGAGAGGGGTATGAAAACGAAATACTCGTGGGTCTTTGATCTTGTGCATCGTCAGTCACCTGGCATTTTCTCTTTGAAACTGGTTGTTCTATTCATTCGAGTATAACGTTTTCATTTCCCTTTCCTCACTTTAAAACAATGTCGAAAACCCTTCAAAGTCACGATGACGAGATCCTGAATGAGCCAGTCATGCGAGAGCATAATTATTTTACGTGATGAGACATGTAAATTGTAATCAGAGAAGGGCGTGAAGATATGGTCGGTTCAATTACGGAGAGGTGTGTAAATGGGAAGTGCGCATCATAAAGCCACTTCTCACCTTATCTCACATTCATGACGTCATTAATGGCATATGGGGTGATTGTCTATTTGAAGGGGTAAAAGAGAGACGGGACAGTGGATCACACTGGGAAACAATCAATGGACATTTGATCGTCATCCTTTTGACCTAGCAGCTTCCCCAAGATTATCCCGATTCTAAATTTAAAGAAAGTATTACATCAAATGTTCTGTCGTGACCGAGACATGTTGCCCTTTCATTTAGCATGTCTCCCTTTAACTGCATAACGACATGGAGGTCTAAATCATTTGATGACCGTCATTGCTTTGTACTTTACCATGCAGCAAGATTTATAGATGGTCCTGTAGGTTTAAAGAAATAATGATACCCAGTGTCTGATTGGTATTAAGGTACTCTCGCTCTCTAAGTGCCATTTCGATTGACTTTGGCGATCATGCTGTTCCACAACCCTCGGTCTTCCTAGCCTACTCTATTAGCACCACTCCCAGTTCTTTCACTCCTCTCTCTTCCAACAATTTATGCAGACTGTTCATCCAAAGTATCCCCCTTCTTCCCCTTCTCTTACTTCCCACAATTTTCACTGTCAAAACAAGATTCTCTAGGCCTTCTTTAAGGTACACATTTTCTATAATTAAATTTTGTTCAGGCTTATGTTAATGTGTTCTAAATTAAACCAGTAAATTACAATAGTTCTAAACGAGGAATGTTATTTCAGTTTTTGATCTTTGTGTTCACTTCAATGATTGATAATTATCCAACGTGTTTAGTTTGTAACTTGATCTATCTGCGATGTCGTAATCAACAAATTCTAAGTCAGTCTAAGACTTAACGAATATTTGACTCGATTTCATTTTATATAAGATTTGGACGGTTTTTCAAATAGATACGTGATTGTTTACATTTCTCCTTGCCAGCTGTGTCATGCCCTGCCCTCCCGGTCGCTTTGGACCTGACTGTGTTGACTTTTGCCAGTGTCCATTCTCCGTGATCGGTGAAATCCTGTGTGACTCTATGACAGGAAACTGTACTGAACCGACCCTGCCACCAACGACTCGGAAAGTCTACGATTCGACGATGCTGGAAAGTACGGGTAAGTGCGTGTAAAGGATATTCACAAAGACTTCTCATTACGAAAACATCAACATGGCCGCGTTGCTCCTAGCCTACAGGCCATTTCAATCACGATAATTTAGCCACATCCTCAATCCTGTCCATTCTTTTCTAACTTGAAGGAAAGTTGTTTCAATGGATTCTATCATACACAGGAAAGGATACGTTATAAGATGCATATTTTCAGGCCTACATAATGCACCCTGCTTTTGGGTTCAAGATTAGATCCCGAAGATGCCACAGGGTGTAACATTGGGGATAACAAAACTGCAACCAATGCATCTGCTATCCATGCACCCTGAGTACGACAAGTTCGCATTACGATGATGCTGGTATTGCTGTGTTGTGAAGGTCGTGAAAAGTTATATTACTTCATGGTCTATATTTTCTGTTTAATCGGTGACATTGTGTGTACTGATATACTGTCTACCCTGTCAAGAAGTGTTCTTTGATGTTATTCACCATTATTCTCTTGGGCAGATACCTTTCATGAGTTCTTCCAGTATGACACAGAGAGTCCATCCATAATAAACCCTGAGCGGAAGAACTCGTTACAGGTCAAGGCAATGCGTCTTGGTATTTCCGGTGCTGTAAGCGTCCTCCTGATGATCATATCCTTGATACTCGCCATCTACGTTTACCGGAAATTCAGGAACCGACCATGTATTTGTCTGCAGAGGTAATTTAATTTCCCTTTTATTTAGTTACACAATATGGAATAATTAAAAGAATGGCAATTTTTGACATTCTGGGTCATGGTAAAAAGAGAATTCTAAAAGAATTAAAAATTAAATAAATTCAAAATCGGTTTGTCATTGTATTTTGTTGTTCAAAGTTCGTATCATCTGCAGAGAGCCAAAAGGGTGCTAACTCAAATCTTTAGAAGAATTTACGCCCCTTTGGCTCTCAGCATACGGTATTGTCCAAGCATTTCATCTACTTCATGAGAATTTATGTTAAAGTGTGATGTATACCAATTTAATGATCAATGATGATGGAAATATATATCAGAACTCACTATTTTATGTTAATTCTTCGGCACTGCAATGAAAATTTGCTATATCAAATAAACTTGGATTGGAATGGATTGTCCCGAGTTCCCACCATTCATTCTTACATGTTTTTTGTATAATTTTGATTTTTATGTACTAATGTGATTTTCTCGAATTTCTCAAGTGCTCAAATCATAAGGCAGATGCATTCATCTCATCAAGATAACTTCTAAAGTATTCTTTACGAAAAACGTAGTTTACCATGAATAAATATAACATCGTTCGATCTGTATATTTTTTCCAGGAAAAAGATACGAGCAGCGATGTTGAAACAGCAAAGAGAGAGGGATGAAGGTAAATATATTTTAAAATCCACATAAGATTTGTTTTTATTTGTATGTCCTGAACAAAATATTGTCATTCATTTTCACAGTTTTATAAGATAGCAATATCGTTTGACAGTTATAGATGATTATGTACGATTTCGTAGGTAATTTCAGTAGGGCGAGTAGGATGTTTAATTTAAATAATACATCAAATTCTTCATAAGTTATAACATATTATTTAACTTTGCAATTTAATACACGCTTTATATTTTGTTTGACTTTTCAGGAAGAGGAGACCATTCAAATCATGTAGCACCAACTCCTCGGGCCCACTTTCCCAATCCGCACTTACCTCACGCCTTGCCTTACCGACTTCCCAGTCTCTGCAACTACACTGGTCTACGGCAAACTGGGAACCTACCAGGCAGCGTGCTCTTCGACCCTCTACCCGGAGTCACAGAATCAATCACCAATGTTACATCAGTAGATGTTGCTCCTGTAACAATGCATCGAATGCCCGAAGAGACCATCTATGAAGTACGACCCTCGCTCGTCGCGAAGAGTCGCAGGAACCAGGATATGACCAGTGGCTACATCGAAAATGACACGTTGAGTTCGATGTCAAGAGTCGTCCAGGGTTGCGAGATAGAGATGGATAGTGCCAACAGTAGTGCCATGTACCACCGTGACCTGGATGATGAAGAACCTTATGATGAGGAGGAATATGATTATCCGTATGCTGATAATGCCAAGATACAAATGGGTTTGGATCGTTTTCAGACGAAGAGATCGCGACCTGGTGCGCATGAACACGACAACTCGATTTATGCTGTGGTTCTAGAAAACGAAAAACCGATGAACAGTCAGCATGATGGGGATTATGAACGCGAGAACCATCGCAGTCGTGAGAGTGATATCTTAGCAGACGCAGGTAATCATGGAAGAACCCACACTGATCCATTTCCTCTTCCATCCCATCTTGCGAATCCACCTTCTGATGGTACTTACACAGCTTTGATTGCAGGAACACGATCACCTTGGACGGAATCCTCATTCCCAGAAAGAACTCCTGGTAGTGGGTGTTCTACCGCACCGGCTACTATTGCCTTAGCAAGAAAACCGTCAATGGGAGTTGCTCCTTCGGTAAGACCAAGGGCGTCACCGGTTGTGAAACCTATTGGTAACGCTACCTCAATACGTCCCCGGGGTATGAGTGACATACCTCGTAACTCATATGCCACAGAGAACAAATTCGTGTCATCTCGTCCTAAAAAAATTATTAGTCAGGTGGATTCTAATGGCTATACGACTGCAATTCGAGCATTTTCTTCAATGCGACAGCCGCGACGCCCAGCGACGAAACGAAAATCTAGACCTTCTATTGAATTACGACAAACACCAAGTCCTATGATACCTCCTAGGTTAAGCGAATCGGACATCCCACCGCTGTCGCCCGATCCAACAGCCGATCATAGCATGAAAACTCAGCTACTTCAAGCTGTTTCGTCCAATCCGAGATATGTCAACGGGTGTATTATATCTCCCAAACAAAAACCAAAGGAAAGAACTAGATCAAGAACTCCTGCTATGCTTCGAAGAGCAAAAAACGTACTCCCTCTACCAACTATAAAGGTAGACGAAGAGAGTGAGAAACTGTATGACGATATTTTACCGTTTGGAGATTAAGAAAGTAATGTCTATGTACATTTGCTGACCAATTAGAACATATTCAAAGATCTCAGCGGATATTTTATGAACAATGATCGCTATAAAGTCCCAAGTTACGAAGACAAATTGTAATTTGAGTAATTAATGTTGTTAGAACGTATGGAATATAATTTCAACATTCATATTTTCTACTCTTGGTAGGCCATAGTGCACCATGTTGTGTTCATAGAAATAAAAGAGCACGGTGGATTTCACTTGAAACTGAAAGGTAGACATAAAACTATAATACATTTTCTCGATTCTTTATTGATGCATACGAAAATATTTATTATGTTTATATAATTAATCCAGCTTGGTACATCGAAAACTTCGTAGTCTGACATCACATGGTCTTCTTGTTTTGCCTAGACAAGAAAAAGGCCGTGATAAAAACGATACGTAATTCTGATAGAATACCATTTGACTACCAGACTTTATGTTAGCTTACATTAGCTTATGTAACTATGCACCATTGCCTCACTATAATGTATTTGTCTATTGACATATCAACCAAATGTAACATTTGTATGGTATTTTTAAAGCTTCATTGCTTATACAGTTATTATCTGTCTATTTAATTTATTCATGGATGAAAAAGTGCCTGTGTAAAAACATGTATATGTAGAAGAAATACAAAATACCTGAATATAGGTTAATATTACAACTCAAAATGTATATTATGTATTTTTGTTCTTCTAATCCTAAGACATACAATTTACCTATCCTACCACTAAGATGAAGGAACAATGAATTACGTTGTAAACCAGAACCTGATACAAAACTTATATCAAGTATCGATTGTAAATCTTTCTTTGAATAGATTAAATAACATTTCAGATTGAAAGGTTACCGAATTCCGGGGCGGCAGACAAATGGCACTCCTTAGCCTAACGGAATTTTCTTCACCTGTCTGATGTGACGCATATAATGGAATTACCTTGATGAGGCACTTGCTCGAACCTGAAAGCATTTCTTCTGCCTCCTCGCAAAATCCTTCAAGTCAAATTTTGATGATGGATTACGTGGAAAAGGGTGGTTTTTATCCACTTGTCTTGATTTTGAAGGAAACTTGAATAAACCGATTAGCCCTTGCCCCCATCTGTCTCTCCACTACTTGACGATATGATTTATATGTCAGTTCTTTTTATTGTAATGTTATCAACGCTTTAATTTGATTTTGATGTAAGTCTTGACGTGTTCCAGAGCACACTATTGTAGTGTTCGTTTTGTTATTCATTTTTATGCTAAAATAAATACACATTCACCATAAATATGGATTTACACAAAACTGAAGTAAAACAGACTAAATCAAGAGATAGCCACATTGGTATCAAGTAACAGTACAGTAACAGAGTAGGAAGAGCATAAACATCCATTATACTAAGATCGCTTAATGTAAACATAATACAAATACATGTTAAAAAAAATGTTCTGTGTACAAATAGAATACATTTGAACAACTTAGTAAACACCCAGTACTATATTGATCATAATATCCGCATAACGAAATAAAAACTAGTTTTGCAAAATAGATATGTATATATGATGAACATAATCTTTAAAAAAGAAACAATTGCGAATATCTAGGTTTAATTAAAAAGGCTGGTATAAATATCGTTTCTTAGTACAAAACCTTAATTAAAAATGAAAGGTTTCCACTATTGTTCAGCGCATTCCTAAAGTACATGAATAAAAATCATACAACTATCCCAGAATGTTACAGTCGGATTCAGGAATTTTGCAATCAATCCGAAAGGTCTCTCCTGTGATATAATTTTGGTAGGGAAATTGATTTGATGGGCTTGTACAGAACCCAGTTTTAAAGACGTGTGTCGCTAAAACCGTTAGCTATGTGCATATCAGCCGGCATACTCCCGTTTCTCGATCTGCCAAAAGAAACCATGTTCCTATCATCCACACTCCTTCTGGCCGCCTTGTTGTAGACTACGCTGCTGTTGCCCGTCTCGTGACTCAGGGAAGGATTTCCCCGACTGCACATACCGTTTGGGCGATGTCCCTGGAATCCTTGGTCGCCTGTCACTGGTCGGTCGTGAAGGCTTCGTCCACTCTTCGTCGGGTCCGTTTGACTTCGATGCCTACCTGTTGGATCATGTTGAGATGCTGATAGGTGATGCCCTTGTATTTCCATCTGTTGAGATCTCTCTTGCATACGAGCCTGTAAATTGACGTGTACAAATCAGTAGTAGAAGTCTAACATTGCAAGATAACTTCAATTGCTGTTCTAGTTTTGGAAATCGATAGAAATGAATTCACTGAGGTATATTGACGAAGCCTCTGGATTGTCATTTGAGATGTCCTGGGTTCGATCCTTGCTCGGTTCCTAAATCCTTTGACAACGTGTTTTGCCCACATGTAGTATTGCATCATCCTTCTCAAAATAGAACAAGGCACTTGCAACTCCCAAAGCTAACTAACAGAAATATTAATAATGTACAGAAAATACAAAACTAGCACTACAGAGGTTAGTATGATATGTGATAACTGAACCGTTACCGATTTGCTAGTTTAGGAATGAGTACTTACATTGATTTCTTTACTGAATCGAAGGCCCATAGCGCTGTTCTGGAAGGTATCTGGGTCCTGATTTTGGTGTCTCCTATCTTCTGTGAAGTACAACTGCTGCATGCCATCTTTATATCGACGAGCTTTCATGTCGTTATGAAACGGTCTCTTTTTATACCCTTCCAGTTTGTGGAGACGAACACGATAGTAAACGACGACGACGACGAAAAAGATGATGAAGAGGAGGATGATAATCGTGATAGGGACTAGGATAGCAAGGAGTACGACGTTAGAAGACTTAGAGCATTGAGGCCCGGAGTATCCACTGGCGCAGCTGAAAAGGAAGATCATTCGCAAGATTAAGTTTTACACCGCATGATTTCAAATTTTAAACTATCATCTATTTTCTTCTAGTCATTTTGTCACGTTTGGCAAAGCATTCAAATTATATTTACACAGTAGCATGAACGCAATTTAAAAGCACTCTAATGTAATCGAAGGAAGAATGCTTAGATACTGTTAAAACAATCAGCTTGTAATTTGTATGGTTAAATGATTAATAAAATACAAGCAAATTTTATCGCACTTACAATCGACATAACAAATGTAAAACAACTATATCAATGCGTTTTTACAATATGGCCATTTAAATTAAGTATAAAGTATTTATATTACATTGTCGATTCCCTTTGAAAACTCCATTTTAAAAAAAAGTATATTTATTAACCATTCATAGGGTGCGTTTATGGGTCTTGCCACTAGATATGTACATATCGTACCCCACTATCATACCCCACTATCGAACCCCACTTTAAGATCGTGATTTGCGGGATGTCGCGTTTATCGTCTCTTCACGATTCACAATAAAGGCCTTGTCTCTGCGCAGCTGCTCAGCGTCGTTTGACCCGGGAAGCAGACAGTTTCTCGGAGGTCAACTACACACACGTGCTTGTACAACAACATGACACAACACATGGCGCGCGCTAGCCTCCGAACCGGAAATTAACCTGGGAGGTCCGATTTGTGTGTGGGGTTCAAAACAGCTTTGCGTTTATCATCTCTCAGAAACGTGATTCTGGCTGTATGTCACATTCAAAACACACCTTTTTGCGTCTTTAGATATGCCCATATCTAAAGACCTTTAAAAAAGGCTTTGCGTTTATCACCTTCAAAATTTGCCTGAAAGACGTTTGAGAAACCTGATTCTAGGCAAAAAAATTGTCAATAAACGCACCCTCACTTGATTTCAGATTAATCTAGTTTTGTTTATACATATTTCATTTGATAAAGTATTTATGACATTAATGAATGTGACAATCCCCCGAAACAGTTCTGAGTTCAAACATGCCTTTATTTGATTTGTCTTTTACTCTCAATATTAATTGGATGTCCGAAAATATGAAAAAATGTTTTCATTATTTTGGACAAAATGTAATTATTCCTTAATACAATCATGGCAGAATCGGATATTGAAATACTAGTGACGGCGACATGTTAGTAATTTCTATCGCAGTGTGGGTTAAAATTGAGGAAAATCAATATGGGAAAGATGTCGTTATACCCCCCCCCCCCCAGGAACACAGAACGATCCTTGGACGTTACTTCTTTATGCGCCACATTCTTTTTCTAAATAGGTACGTTTAACAAAATCTTTAACTTTATCTCAGGACTTGGAGTATAAAATTACTCCTTATAGGTGATAAAGAGGCTGTCAATTAACCGATCAAGACCAGAAGTGGGTTATGCGTAATTATGCACTGCTACAACTTTTTTGTTATTAGGCCCTCGTGGCAATGGAAGTTTACTAAATGTTCCTTTTTTTAAATACTTCCCGATAACGCTTTCTGTTTCCTGGGTTTGAATTTAATCATAACTATAGAGAAACACATGAATAAAAAGACTTACACGCAAGTGAAATCAAAGGTGTTATAGTCAACCCTGCACTCGCCGTTGTTCTTGCAGGGCGTGGGGGAACAGAGTGCGTCCAGATCTGTGAAGAATTAACATGCCGACATAAATTTAGGCCTATATACCGCATACAATAACTGTGAAACAACTGACATATCAGTGCGTTTTGATTGATTAATCTAATATTCATTTTGAATGAATCGTGTGGAAAAGAAATCAAAATCAAATGTTGCGGTTTACGACGTACGTACACTTTTGCAATTTGTGTACGGATATTCTGAAAAAAGGGATGTGGGGCTTGTCTTCAAGCTGTCCCCCTTTGAAAATATCTTGCCATCCACGGCATTATCGTTTTTTGTATTAATCGACAGGAAAAAAGGAAATTATAAGAATATAAATATACTAGGTTAATTAACTGAATATATTTTGTTGTACCTGGGTCTGAATTTTTAATGTAGTTCTTACTCTTCAATGGTAGGATAACCAGAATTACTGATGGTAATAATTCATCCAAACAGGAAAGAGCATGCAGCATTCTCACAGGAAAAATGAAAAGCAAAGTGTTGCTAGAAAGTACATCAAGAGCATTATACACAGACTTAAAAATTAAAAATAATGTAGGCTTATGCTCCTTACCTGTTACATCAACTGAAACAACGCTGAATTCATCCACTGCTAGAAGAGCTTCTTCGATCTGTTCTATCAAACTTTCAACAGTTACATCTGACGTGTACATAACGCCTATGAGTAAGTTCATTTGCATCTCGCCGTTTGACAAATTCTGAGCGTTGATGGTTGTCACGTTAACAAGATATGTTGTAGGAATCCCGAGTATTGCCGATTCAAACTGGTAAAGTTCACGCGTTGGAAGGGAAAAAGAAAGAGAGAAGACGTGTACAATGTAATTACACCGTATTATATTATGTTATGAAATTATGTTTAATTATGAACATGCATTGTCTTTTAGGAAATTTACCAAAGCGATTTCCGTGAGCAAAATTTCGGTCTAGTGCTCCTTCTACAAAATAGTCAGAAGGCCGTCTAAACCCTACAGCCCACGAAACAGACAACTTCGTGGATAATTCACTTTATAACTGACATTGTCGATTTCGTGTGATGTAGGTCTCGTGGGCTGTAGGTCTCGTGGGCTGTAGGTCTCGTGGGCTGTAAGTCTCGTGGGCTGTAAGTCTCTTGGGCTGTAAGTCTCGTGTGATGTCGGTCTCGGGTGATGTAGGTCTCGTGGGCTGTAAGTCTCGTGTGGTGTAGGTCTCGTGGGCTGTAAGTCTCGTGTGATTTAGGTCTCGGGTGATGTAGGTCTCGTGGGCTGTAAGTCTCGTGTGGTGTAGGTCTCGTGGGCTGTAAGTCTCGTGTGATTTAGGTCTCGTGTGATGTAAATCTCGTGTGCTTTCGGTCTCGTGTGATGTAGGTCTCATGGGCTGTAAGTCTCGTGGGCTGTAAGTCTCGTGGACTGTAAGTCCCATGTGATGTAAGTCTCGTGTGATGTCGGTCTCGTGTGTTGTAGGTCTCGTGGGCTGTAAGTCTGGCGTGGGCTGTAAGTCTCGTGGGGTTTAAGTCTCGTGTGATATCGGTCTCGTGTGATGTCGGTCTCATGGGCTGTCGGTCTACTGGGATGTCCCGGACATAAACTTCTTAGATAATTGCAACTGAGCAGGCTTTGGTGTACCATAAGTATCTTACCGTTTCTTGGACTGTTAGAACATCTTGATTGTCCAAGGGCAAAGTTTCGCGTTTTTTTCTTTGTACGATCATGACCGTGGTACTTGAGTCTGCATCTGTTGAAAGTTTGGGATAAATGTAATTCTAATATTCAATTTCACAATAGACATACCCCTGCTTCACAATTATGTAGGGTAAATTCATATTGATGAGTCATATCCCAGCCATATAACTTGCGCCCAAATCAAGTTTAATTCCTGTTCGTTAATTTTTCAAAACTACTGTAAATAACAAATAACCGATTTACATCGGGTATTTAAGCAATTATTTTCATTTTCATTCTGCATTTCAAAAATATAAACAATTCTCCTTCTTGATTTCATTTGACAGATTATTTAAAAGAGTAGGATAATCATATCGATGAGTACGTGGTAATCTTACAGAGAAGGAGTCCCATATCAAAGAGGTCCCAGGCTCGAAACCATCAAATAAACCATGAGGCATTAATCGTCAAGTACATAGTCCCTTGGTTAGGACGTTTCCTTTTGCATTGTATTTATTTCCACGAGAGTTGCCAAAGCTGTTGTATAGGTTATTTCCTTAAATATGTTATATATACATGTATTTGAATTGCCAAAATTCATATGAACGACATTGATATCCAGAGTGTTCCATCCCATCATCATCATCATCATCATTATACCAAATTGATTTAATTGTATATCAGGAATAATCAATCTTCTTTTACCAGGTTCTGTCGGTGAGGGGGTTGATACGTTCATGACCGTGACACTTACGCCTGCATCTGTTCAAAATTTGGGATAAATGTAATTCCAATATTCAATTTCACAATAGACATACCCCTGCTTCACAATTATGTAGGGAAAATTCATATTGATGAGTCATATCCCAGCCATATAAATAAAGTTTAATTCCTGTTCGTTAATTTTTTAACCAGGCTATTCGATGCCACATATGGAAAATAAATGAATTGCATTTAAGAGAAAAATAACCTTGAACTTAAACTTTGAAACGTTACACTTTGTTCATTTGCTGTTATTTTCAATATAATTACATGTATGTCTGAATTAGTGAAAAAATACGACTAAAAATAATTAGGAAAACATGATTATAAAGAATGATCGCGTATCGTGATTGCTAAGGATCGTCAAAATAGTAGAGTTACAGATGAACCTCTAGCTAAAGATCACAATGTGAAAAGCACTTCACAAAGGTTTGTGTATATTGGATATCATTATTATTACTGTTGTTATTATTATCATCATTATCATCATCATCATCATCATCATCATTATACCAAGTGAATTATTTGATTTTGTCGGTGAGGGGGTTGATGATGATGTAGACATCGATTCCGTTGGAGTGTTAGAAGCTGAAGTACTGGTAGATGGAACGGTCACTGTGTGAGAAGAACAAATATAATCTCAGGATTATTATGATATTTCACCATTCATAATGTCGTATTTCTTTTCATGAAAACGGAGATCCACTAAAAGTTATCCTATAATTCCTTGTAACTTTATTAAGAATAATATAAATATTTTTTTGTTGTTAGCAAAGAAAAAAAAAACATGTACACTTGTATAATTACTTTTGTATACTTTGTAAAATGTTTTTTGTAATTTACTTTGTAATATGGAAATAAAGCTCGAACTTGAACTTGAACTTGAACTTGAACTTGAACTAAAATATTAAATTATTTTCAATATCTTACTTTATTTACACAATTATACAAAAATAGGGTTCAAAAGCTTAAGGAACGATGGCTCCGTGGATATCAGGATTGATCAATAATCTTTTACCAGATTTTGTCGGTGAGGGAGTTGATGATGGTGAAGACATCAATCCAGTTGGAGTGTAAGAAGCTGGAGTACCGGTAGATGGTACGGTCACTGTGTGAGAAAAACATAGATAATATCAGGATTGTTGTGATGTTTCACCATTCATAATGTCGTATTTCTTTTCATGAAAACGGAGATCCACTAAAAGTTATCCTATAATTCCTTGTAACTTTATTAAGAATAATATAAATATTTTTTTGTTGTAGCAAAGAAAAAAAAAACATGTACACTTGTATAATTACTTTTGTATACTTTGTAAAATGTTTTTTGTAATTTACTTTGTAATATGGAAATAAAGCTCGAACTTGAACTTGAACTTGAACTTGAACTTGAACTTTAACTAAAATATTAAATTATTTTCAATATCTTACTTTATTTACACAATTATACAAAAAAAGGGTTCAAAAGCTTAAGGAACGATGGCTCCGTGGATATCAGGATTGATCAATAATCTTTTACCAGATTTTGTCGGTGAGGGAGTTGATGATGGTGAAGACATCAATCCCGTTGGAGTGTTAGAAGCTGGAGTACCGGTAGATGGTACGGTCACTGTGTGAGAAAAACATAGATAATATCAGGATTGTTGTGATGTTTCACCATTCATAATGTCGTATTTCTTTTCATGAAAACGGAGATCCACTAAAAGTTATCCTATAATTCCTTGTAACTTTATTAAGAATAATATAAATATTTTTTTGTTGTAGCAAAGAAAAACAAAACATGTACACTTGTATAATTACTTTTGTATACTTTGTAAAATGTTTTTTGTAATTTACTTTGTAATATGGAAATAAAGCTCGAACTTGAACTTGAACTTGAACTTGAACTTGAACTTGAACTTGAACTAAAATATTAAATTATTTTCAATATCTTACTTTATTTACACAATTATACAAAAATAGGGTTCAAAAGCTTAAGGAACGATGGCTCCGTGGATATCAGGATTGATCAATAATCTTTTACCAGATTTTGTCGGTGAGGGGGTTGATGATGGTGAAGACATCAATCCCGTTGGAGTGTTAGAAGCTGGAGTACCGGTAGATGGTACGGTCACTGTGTGAGAAAAACATAGATAATATCAGGATTATTATGATGTTTCAGCATTCATAATTTCGTATTTCTTTTTATGAAAACGGAGAAACACTAAAGATTATCCTATAATTCCTTGTAACTTGATTAAGAATAATATAAATATTTGTTTTTGTTTAGCAAAGACAAGAAAACTTGTACACTTGTATAATTACTTTTGTATACTTTGTAAAGAAAAAATTGTAATTTACTTAGTAAAATGGAAATAAAGCTCGAACTTGAACTTGAACTTGAACTTGAACTAAAATATTAAAATATTTTCAATATCTTACTTTATTTACATAATTATACAAAAATAGGGTTAAAAAGCTTAAGGAACGATGGCTCCGTGGATATCAGGATTGATCAATAATCTTTTACCAGATTTTGTCGGTGAGGGAGTTGATGATGGTGAAGACATCAATCCCGTTGGAGTGTTAGAAGCTGGAGTACCGGTAGATGGTACAGTCACTGTGTGAGAAGAACATAGATAACATCAGGATTATTATGATATTTCACCATTCATAGATTCTGGTTTTTCATTTTTATTGAATTGGACACACACAACAGATAAAAATATGAAATGATTTTGAAAATCATTTACAAAATAACACAAAAATATGGTGTAAAAAGGAAAAGGTGCAATGGCTCAGTAGTAGAGAAGTGGTCCCGTAAACGGAGGGTCCCGAGTTCGAAACCAAGGTAAGGCAGTGATCCTCTTTACTAGTTCCCTCGGAGATGACTTAAAGCCGCCGGTCCCTTGGATGCTTACTTATATGCAGCATACATGCTTTCATAGCAATTAGGTAAAGGTCATGATCATCATTATCATTATCATGTTAAATTGATCGCTATCTAAATATTGTTATCATTATTATTAGTAGTAGTAGTAGTAGTAGTAGTAGTAGTAGTATATAGTACTAGTTTCATGAATATCATTATTATTATTATTATTATCATTAACATCATCATCATTATTATTATTATCATTATCGTCATCTTCACCATTATGCCAATTGAGTTAATTGTATATCAGGAATAATCAATAATCTTTTACCAAGTTCTGTCGGTGAGGGGGTTGATAATGGTGAAGACATCAATTCCGTTGGAGTGTTAGAAGCTGAAGTACCCGTAGATGGTACGGTCACTGGGTGAAAAGAACAAAGACAATCTCAGGATTATTATATGATATTTTGGTAGTCATAATTGCAATGACGACCTTCGTCATTGCCTTGTTTTCGTTCACATTCTGCCCCATTAATATTTTCCTTTTCCTTTTCGTCCAAAAATCCCATTCGTTTTGCACGTAGTGCTTGTCCTTCCTAGTTAGGTACTTTCCTCAAGTCCTTTTCCTTTCAAATTTCTTAGGCATCATCTCTAGCATCTCATCCAGGTCACTACATTCTTTGATTTTCGAAATCACTCATGCATGACCGTCCAGGCGCCATTTTGTCCGTTTCTGGTCTATTTTAAGGCCTTTCTTTCTTCCTTCCTTTCTCCACTATCCTAGATCCTACACATTTCTAACAAATTCCTCTAGATAGTCTAAGAGATGTTCTTTTATCTGCGACACATAACCTGACCTTCAAAATGCCATCTTCGTACTCAAAATTCAAATCTGAAACCGACTCGATCAAAAATCTTTAAAATTCTTGAAAAATGGACCCCTAAAAATCTAAAACTGCCATAACTTTCTCATATAAATTCCTTTTTGTGTTTAAATCTCACATTATCCTTATCTCAAAATTGCTCATAGCCATGCCAAATTTCATGCTCCAATGACTATGCAAAGCATAAATAGCGCCCTCTAAAGTTCTGGGAATTGGCTTTCTTTCTGTGGCCGTATCTCAATTATGGCTTGGCAAACCCGTACCCTTTTTTGGATTTAGATACTTGAAGCAGGGACGTGATAGAGAAGGACTTGAATCAAGCCGTTCTCCTTTGACCCCATGCTCCAAGCCGCCGGAAAGTTATGCGCTAATCTGCAGCTGTTGACCAGGTGGTGAGATAAAAGAGCGCATGACATTTTAGGATTTAGAATTCCTACATCAGAAAATGGTATCACAGCAACTGTTCGCTGTCCCTTCCAATGATTTCTCATCCATTGTTGAATGTGTAAAGAGTAGAATAAGCGAACACAAACTTGTGTAATTTCATTCTTTTTTAAACTTGAAAAATACAAAAAACACGCGAAAACACGCATTAGCAAACTTAATGTTATTGAAGATTGTAAATCATGGATCAAATAACGGGACATTAAAGCATGCACAAATTAGCGCATCATCCTAAAATATTGAGTTTTTGACAGGATGTTATTTTTCTTTTACCAACTCTGGCACACAATTTAAAGGCAGGACGGAGTTCTAAATTTGAAAATTTGTTCGATGCACTATTCCCAATAAAATTCCCATATAAAGTTTTTAATTTACACTGTAATTTTGCCGGTAATTTAATATTTTGTAATAAATGTAAAACTGGTGCCTGGCTTCCGAAATTCCCCGCAGTGGAAGCGCGGTTCGGAGCATGGAACTTCAAAGCCAAGTGGAATGTTACACATCCCATTGTTACGCTTTAGAACTCAAGAATGCGTTTGAATAAATCACAAGAGTTTCGCCTCCTGTTCTTTCACCTCCCTGCTTGAAGATATGCCCTTTCCAGCCATATACAAAATTATATACCCTAACACTGACCGACTTTGCGAAAAATGCCCTCCAAATTCGCCATTTTCAAGAAAATTGAGAAATAACTTCAAATTGCTCTAAAATAGCCATCTTTATACCTACATCAATGGAACTTGGCAGACATATGTATCCATATACGTGACATCTGTCTGCCAAGTTTGGTAGAATTCGAATATGTCAGCGCAAAGTTATCGCCAAAAATGATGAATTTACTATGCATTACGTAATAGCGCGTTTAATGCCTGCAATACATTGCGCGAAGATAACAATGGTGTCAAACTGACCGCAATGAAGTGCCCTTTCGAATGATACCAAGTATATTATATGTTCACACAGAAAATTGTGAATAAATCGCATTTGAACAAAGATCACTACACGAATTCCGCCGAGTTTCCGCCCGAATCTAACACGTATCGGCTATGACGTCATTTTTTCAGACTGCTTTTCGCCCCTTAAACGTCCTTTTTTTTCCTTGAAAATTTGCAGTGACATGCCGAGTTCCAATACGCAGGGCACCTAATGGCCGGATTTTTAAAATTGGTCAATGGGGCCATTTAAGACGCCATTTTGTCCCATAAATCTATTTTACATCACGTGTTTCGATAGGATTATCATGGGAAAAAAGAGAGTGATTTACAATAACAATCATGAAATTCTCTTTCTAATGATACCAAATACGGCCCATAAAGAGACATAAAGAGAGAGAGAGAAAAAACAATTTAACTCCGGTCATAATTACAGATCCTGTACGTTTTCCGCTCATGCATTACACGCATTGTCTATGGGGCATATCGGGTTCACGCTTTTGACCCCCAGAACGATCTTTATTGCAATGACGAACATGCACCAAATCCCCTTGGTTTTTGCACGCGGTGCTTGCGAGCCCTTTCCACGTCCTTTCCCATATCCCAATTTCTTTCAAACTTCGTAGGCATAGTCACTACCATCCCATCAAGGTCACTGTTGAGGCCTTTCTTTCGCCCTACCTATCTCAAATATCACAGAAGCTACAGACTTCGTACAAATTGCTCTGGATAGGGCGAGAGAAGCTCTTTCGTTTGACACGTAGAAAAATGGCGTCATTGCACGCACATCGTTGTGACACGATTGCATTTCTAGTTTTGTATTTATTTTTATGAAACTGGAGACACACAACAAGTCAAAATATTAAATGATTTTGTCTTTCTTCATTACACAATCACAAAAATAGGATGTCACAATGTGATTAAATAAAAAGATTAACTACATCAATATTTTGAGTACTTCCTATGAATGCAGTAGATCACAATAATTCTAGTTAAATGATTTCTGAAGAAAAAAACACTGCCTACAAAAAGGTAACCCTATGGTAGATAATACTGGTCCTATATACATCTTCTTGTTAATCTTTTACATTAATTATTCATCGTGAGCCTTTACATATTGCGGTTAAGAGATTAGAAAGTCCATTTCATATACGAGGCTTCTTTTCGATTGCGGTATTACATGCGCCATTTAAGTCTGTGATGTGAATTAACAGCGATTCAAAGCGAAGTTTGCACTGTCCATTATGAACTTAATTTTACTTGGCGCGCAAAATATTGCAATAGTCGCTGACACAGTCGTTCGTACGCAGATAGTGCCTGTTGAGCAACGGACTTAAATGCGCATCTCGTCATTCCGCAAAAAAAAGAAAGAATCATGCGAACACATCTTATGTTCCGTGAGTTACTGCGGCAATGTGTAAAATTTACTTGCAATATTTGAAATCTCTATTATAAGTTTTTTCAGCCATTTAAACACTTTTTTCATTCAATTTCGTCACAAAACTTTGTGATCTTGCACACCTCATCGTATATTCAACCTGATTAAAACTTTAACAATCAATGCATAGCCAAAATTACGAATGTGAAGCTCAGTTACATGTATTTAAAAAAGAGGAATTGTCGACGCTAATGGTATTGAAAACGTATATTTTTAGACCTACGCAGTCCAAAAATAATGCAAATGTATATACATACAGCAAGTTTCAGGAAGAAATGAAAAGACAAAGCGTAATAACTATAACAAACAAACAAGTGACGAACTTGAACGACGCTTTGATGAAATCGATTAAAAAGTGACGAAAATTTGCAAGAGAGCTGCCGTACATGACCAACTTAATTTTACTTTGACGAAATTGGACGTAAAATGATTTTTAAAAATTGGACAAAGTTCCAAAATGAATAACCAAAGACGAAATTGACTGTTTTATATGAAGGAAGTTCCGGGACGAGATTGAATAAAAACGGTTTGAAACTGAATGAAAAACGGAAAGAAAACCTATAATAATCAATATTATATCCTGAATCAAAAATATATTGGTTTTTGATTTGTTGAGAGCTCTTCACATGACCAGAAATATTTCCACCATTTTAAAGTTGCCCTGTACCAATAAACCAATAAATCATCTGGCCTTCATATACGGAAGCGTTAAAGTGCCATTCTACTTGACGACATGACGAGATATTTCATCTTGTCAAGTCGACTTAATATCCATATCATGTCGACATGTAAAGATATTTAACCTACCATGTCGACTTATCAACTTTTATTAGTCGACATGGCGACATAAATTATCTTGCCAAGTCGACTTCACAAAAAGTCCATGTCGTCATGGCGACATAAGTTATCTTACCAAGTCGACTTCTAAAAAAATACATGTCGTCATGGCGACATATATTATCTTACCAAGTCGACTACCCAAAAAGTAATGTCGACATGGCGAAATAAATTATCTTGCCAAGTCGACTTCACAAAAAGTTCATGTCGTCATGGCGACATGTATTATCTTGCCAAGTCGACTTCACAAAAAAGTTCATCTCGTAATAGCGACATAAATTATCTCACCAAGTCGACTTCCCAAAAAGTATATGTCGTCATGGCGAGATATGTAGTGTGAAGACTGTTTCATGCAGCGCGCGTATATGGCAAGCCCTTTGTGTAAAAACCAGAAAAACTCTGTTTTTCTCAGAAAAAACTGTGTTGATAAATGATGAACTCAGTTTATCAACAGATAAACAGAGTTTATCAGATAAACAGAGTTTAACAGATACTCACAGTTTATCAGAAAAACTCATGACGACATGAACTTTTTGTGGACTTTCACACAACACTTTGATATATAGTTCAGGGCTATGTTTGGACTCTCTCAAAACATCATCAAAACAGATATGAATACATAGATAAGAATTGCAATTTAGTCGTGTTACCAGGGGACAGAGATAAAATATACAAAACATTTTTAACTAGATGTTGTTGTTGTTCGTTTGGTATTATAATGGCTATTAGTCAAATTTGACTATTGTTGCCAATTTCATCGCATCTCTTTCTTTTAATGTCTTGGTAAAATTATTATTTCTTTCTTTCTTTTTCCAATCTCATTTTAATATAATATTAGTCATAGTCTACAAAAAAATAAAAACAAAAAATTATTTCAAATTAAACCACGATCCGCACACAGTTCCAACTCACGCTGGCCCTGTCCTTTCTATGATGCCTTCTTACCAGCCCAGCGAGTTATGTTACGCCGTACGCTTCTCGGTTGATAAACTCAACCTAGGTCACTCTGGCATAGACAAGGGGGCGTCGTGTACCTGTATGTTTAGAGGGTTTATTTATTTATTAGGAGAAAGACAACTGCATAAGCAAAACACTTGTGGGCTTTATTAGTTTATATGAGTTAGTTCATGAGATTATTTATATAGCGCATGACTTTTAACTACTATAATCATTGGGGGGTGACATGCTTTCGAGTAATGATATAGCAAGTTTTAATTGCTTTTTTTTAGTACGGAAGCGTTAAAGTGCCATTCTAATTGACGACATGACGAGATATTTCATCTTGTCAAGTCGACTTAATATCCATATCATGTCGACATGTAAAGATATTTAACCTACCATGTCGACTTATCAACTTTTATTAGTCGACATGGCGACATAAATTATCTTGCCAAGTCGACTTCACAAAAAGTCCATGTCGTCATGGCGACATAAGTTATCTTACCAAGTCGACTTCTAAAAAAATACATGTCGTCATGGCGACATATATTATCTTACCAAGTCGACTACCCAAAAAGTAATGTCGACATGGCGAAATAAATTATCTTGCCAAGTCGACTTCACAAAAAGTTCATGTCGTCATGGCGACATGTATTATCTTGCCAAGTCGACTTCACAAAAAAGTTCATCTCGTAATAGCGACATAAATTATCTCACCAAGTCGACTTCCCAAAAAGTATATGTCGTCATGGCGAGATATGTAGTGTGAAGACTGTTTCATGCAGCGCGCGTATATGGCAAGCCCTTTGTGTAAAAACCAGAAAAACTCTGTTTTTCTCAGAAAAAACTGTGTTGATAAATGATGAACTCAGTTTATCAACAGATAAACAGAGTTTATCAGATAAACAGAGTTTAACAGATACTCACAGTTTATCAGAAAAACTCATGACGACATGAACTTTTTGTGGACTTTCACACAACACTTTGATATATAGTTCAGGGCTATGTTTGGACTCTCTCAAAACATCATCAAAACAGATATGAATACATAGATAAGAATTGCAATTTAGTCGTGTTACCAGGGGACAGAGATAAAATATACAAAACATTTTTAACTAGAGAAATAGTACGGAAGCGTTAAAGTGCCATTCTAATTGACGACATGACGAGATATTTCATCTTGTCAAGTCGACTTAATATCCATATCATGTCGACATGTAAAGATATTTAACCTACCATGTCGACTTATCAACTTTTATTAGTCGACATGGCGACATAAATTATCTTGCCAAGTCGACTTCACAAAAAGTCCATGTCGTCATGGCGACATAAGTTATCTTACCAAGTCGACTTCTAAAAAAATACATGTCGTCATGGCGACATATATTATCTTACCAAGTCGACTACCCAAAAAGTAATGTCGACATGGCGAAATAAATTATCTTGCCAAGTCGACTTCACAAAAAGTTCATGTCGTCATGGCGACATGTATTATCTTGCCAAGTCGACTTCACAAAAAAGTTCATCTCGTAATAGCGACATAAATTATCTCACCAAGTCGACTTCCCAAAAAGTATATGTCGTCATGGCGAGATATGTAGTGTGAAGACTGTTTCATGCAGCGCGCGTATATGGCAAGCCCTTTGTGTAAAAACCAGAAAAACTCTGTTTTTCTCAGAAAAAACTGTGTTGATAAATGATGAACTCAGTTTATCAACAGATAAACAGAGTTTATCAGATAAACAGAGTTTAACAGATACTCACAGTTTATCAGAAAAACTCATGACGACATGAACTTTTTGTGGACTTTCACACAACACTTTGATATATAGTTCAGGGCTTTGTTTGGACTCTCTCAAAACATCATCAAAACAGATATGAATACATAGATAAGAATTGCAATTTAGTCGTGTTACCAGGGGACAGAGATAAAATATACAAAACATTTTTAACTAGAGAAATAGTACGGAAGCGTTAAAGTGCCATTCTAATTGACGACATGACGAGATATTTCATCTTGTCAAGTCGACTTAATATCCATATCATGTCGACATGTAAAGATATTTAACCTACCATGTCGACTTATCAACTTTTATTAGTCGACATGGCGACATAAATTATCTTGCCAAGTCAACTTCACAAAAAGTTCATGTCGTCATGAGTTTTTCTGATAAACTGTGTTTATCTGTTGATAAACTGAGTTTATCTGAGAAAAACAGAGTTTATCAGTTGATAAACTCAGTTTATCAAGAAAAACTAAGTTTATCAATGATAAACTCAGTTTATCAACTGATAAACTGAGTTTTTCTGATAAACTCTGTTTATCTGATAAACTCTGTTTATCTGTTGATAAACTGAGTTTATCATTGATAAACACAGTTTTTTTTCTGGTTTTTACACAAAGGGCTTGCCATATACGCGCGCTGCATGAAACAGTCGTCACACTACATATCTCGCCATGACGACATATACTTTTTGGGAAGTCGACTTGGTGAGATAATTTATGTCGCTATTACGAGATGAACTTTTTTGTGAAGTCGACTTGGCAAGATAATACATGTCGCCATGACGACATGAACTTTTTGTGAAGTCGACTTGGCAAGATAATTTATTTCGCCATGTCGACATTACTTTTTGGGTAGTCGACTTGGTAAGATAATATATGTCGCCATGTAGACATAACTTTTTGTGAAGTCGACTTGGCAAGATAATTTATTTCGCCATGTCGACATTACTTTTTGGGTAGTCGACTTGGTAAGATAATATATGTCGCCATGTCGACATAACTTTTTGTGAAGTCGACTTGGCAAGATAATTTATTTCGCCATGTCGACATTACTTTTTGGGTAGTCGACTTGGTAAGATAATATATGTCGCCATGACGACATGTATTTTTTTAGAAGTCGACTTGGTAAGATAACTTATGTCGCCATGACGACATGAACTTTTTGTGAAGTCGACTTGGCAAGATAATTTATGTCGCCATGTCGACTAATAAAAGTTGATAAGTCGACATGGTAGGTTAAATATCTTTACATGTCGACATGATATGGATATTAAGTCGACTTGACAAGATGAAATATCTCGTCATGTCGTCAAGTAGAATGGCGCTTTAACGCTTCCGTATTCATAGGATAAGCGGTCTACTGATAAAAATAGCTACTCCGGTAATTTACAAGCAACTTACTAGATTCTTCAACTTGTCAACTCGTACAGCAATATAGTTCACAAAAGTCATTAAACAACACAAGAAAATGGTCAGAGTAATCTTGCAGGTAAGAACCCCGACTGAAGAAAATTTTGATAGACTTAAGAGGGTTAGCATTAAAAATATGTGAAATTATTTCAAATGCAAAATGATTTATTCTGTTTTAGAAAATCAAACTCCGGTCTATATTTTACAAATGATTCAAAAATCCCAATATGTACATAACATTAGAACGCGGAGATTAATCTTACCCAAAATAAAAACATAGATGGGAAAACATGGTGCGGCTCTTTGGAATAGTTTACCTAATTTGTAAAGAAATGCGCCATCAAATTCTTAATTTACTCTTTTGTTTTGGCGTTATGATTATCTTAATAAATGAACTGGTCCATTGTGTTGTTGTTTTTTTCTTTTACTTTGTTCGAAAGTGTTGTACCTAAATTTATTTTGTCTCGATTTGTATTGTTTACATCGATATGTTTGCAAATGTTGTATTTGTTGTAAGGCCTCCACGGAAAACAGTATTTAACTACTGATGGAGCCAATAAATAAATAAAAGATCAATCACGAACATTCTGGTACGGTACTACGAAAGAAAGAGATGTTTATTGCTTTGCTTAGTACGTATATGTTAAATAGTAATACACGACGTATATATTATGGAAACGACTTACCGTTTTGGCAGTTCTTGTCTTCATATCCAGGTACACAGGTACAATTATAAGTGCCTCCATGGAGGCAGCTTTCTTAGCATGTACTCAAATGCACTGAACGTACAAGGCCAATAGATGGCAGCAAACACATTCGTACCCTGTCAGTTACATCCAGAGGTCCATTGCAACACTAAAAAGTGTACAATTTTGACTGTTTTTTGAATAATTTTGGACCAAAATTATTCACTTCCGGTCTGATTATTGACTTTCCTGAAATTTTCTTTGCCCTAAAATACAATCGAATACTACAGAATATCATGAAAACAGCAATTGAAAAATGAAGAGCATAATCAAACTAGTACTTAAACACTAAAAACAAAAATTGAGATTTTTTTTTTCTTTTTTAAACTAGACTGGCCCCCTTAATAACCATACACAACGTAAAGAATTACGAAAACGACTTACCGTTCTGGCAGTTCTTGTCTTCATATCCAGGTACACAGGTACAATTATAGTCATTTAAGAGATCTACACATGTACCGTTGTTAACACACGGGTTAGAAGCACATTCATCCGTCTCTGATAAAAGTAAGAAGAAATAGAAATGTATTTTAAACACAAAGTGCAAGTTGCATTATCTTGACTGTATATAAACAGTGCTTGCATTTCTATTTTCTTGATCTCGTTCTTTAACAATTCAGTGTGTTTTATTTTACGTATATTTGAATGATTTGCTACTTGTTAATTGTATCGCGAACAGTTCTGGTACGGTCCTACAAAAGAAAGAGTATTGCTTTGCTTTAGTACCTTTATGTTTGAGGGGACCAGTCTGGTAAAATACAGTGAAATGCAAGTTGATAAAGAATTCTTAATAAATCATTACTTGATATAGCAAACTACTATGAACCATATATTTCTTGAAAGCTGAGACAATAATTTGTTATGAGAAAGTTATTTTTCTCATTAAATATGCAAATTATATACAAACTGCTCAAGGACATGAATATTAAAAAAATATGTAGTGCTTGTTCTTTGTACTATTACTGTAATTGTAATAACGATATCAAGGCACTTTTTTGTGATTTTGATAGTACATTTGTATGCACAACAATCCTATGACACCGTTTGTATAATTTTCATCATTTACATAAAATTATGATATTTCAAAGAAAAAACAGAAACTCGAATGATTTTTGGAAATGATTTTGCTTGTGACGTATGTATGTGCAAAAACCATGATAGGATTGTTTGTTATATGAAAGCTTATGTTTCTGCCAATTTTGAAATAATTCTGATGAATATTTTTCAAGTTACAGCATTTTTTGTCAAAAATTTATAATTCAGAGATAATTAGCATAATATAAAGGTACTTCAAACACAGTTTCCTACAATAAATTGTATCCAAAATGGGATAACTTGGCCTGCAGTCGCGAGTTCAGTTGCACTAGAGTGCCTCCATGGAGGCAGCTTTCTTAGCATGTACTCAAATGCACTGAACGTACAAGGCCAATAGATGGCAGCAAACACATAAGTACCCTGTCAGTTACATCCAGAGGTCCATTGAAACACTAAAAAGTGTACAATTTTGACTGTTTTTTGAATAATTTTGGACCAAAATTATTCACTTCCGGTCTGATTATTGACTTTCCTGAAATTTTCTTTGCCCTAAAATACAATCGAATACTACAGAATATCATGAAAACAGCAATTGAAAAATGAAGAGCATAATCAAACTAGTACTTAAACACTAAAAACAAAAATTGAGATTTTTTTTTTTCTTTTTTAAACTAGACTAGCCCCCTTAATAACCATACACAACTTAAAGAATTACGAAAACGACTTACCGTTCTGGCAGTTCTTGTCTTCATATCCAGGTACACAGGTACAATTATAGTCATTTAAGAGATCTACACATGTACCGTTGTTAACACACGGGTTAGAAGCACATTCATCCGTCTCTGATAAAAGTAAGAAGAAATAGAAATGTATTTTAAACACAAAGTGCAAGTTGCATTATCTTGACTGTATATGAACAGTGCTTGCATTTCCATTTTCTTGATCTCGTTCTTTAACAATTCAGTGTGTTTTATTTTACGTATATTTGAATGATTTGCTACTTGTTAATTGTATCGCGAACAGTTCTGGTACGGTCCTACAAAAGAAAGAGCATTGCTTTGCTTTAGTACCTTTATGTTTGAGGGGACCAGTCTGGTAAAATACAGTGAAATGCAAGTTGATAAAGAATTCTTAATAAATCATTACTTGATATAGCAAACTACTATGAACCATATATTTCTGGAAAGCTGAGACAATAATTTGTTTTGAGAAAGTTATTTTTCTCATTAAATATGCAAATTATATACAAATTGCTCAAGGACATGAATATTAAAAAATATGTAGTGCTTGTTCTTTGTACTATTACTGTAATTGTAATAACGATATCAAGGCACTTTTTTGTGATTTTGATAGTACATTTTGTATGCACAACAATCCTATGACACCGTTTGTATAATTTTCATCATTTACATAAAATTATGATATTTCAAAGAAAAAACAGAAACTCGAATGAAATTTGGAAATGATTTTGCTTGTGACGTATGTATGTGCAAAAACCATGATAGGATTGTTTGTTGTATGAAAACTTATGTTTCTGCCAATTTTGAAATAATTCTGATGAATATTTTTCAAGTTACAGCATTTTTTGTCAAAAATTTATAATTCAGAGATAATTAGCATAATATAAAGGTACTTCAAACACAGTTTCCTACAATAAATTGTATCCAAAATGGGATAACTTGGCCTGCAGTCGCGAGTTCAGTTGCACTAGAGTGCCTCCATGGAGGCAGCTTTCTTAGCATGTACTCAAATGCACTGAACGTACAAGGCCAATAGATGGCAGCAAACACATTAGTACCCTGTCAGTTACATCCAGAGGTCCATTACAACACTAAAAAGTGTACAATTTTGACTGTTTTTTTAAATAATTTTGGACCAAAATTATTCACTTCCGGTCTGATTATCGACTTTCCTGAAATTTTCTTTGCCCTAAAATACAATCGAATACTACAGAATATCATGAAAACAGCAATTGAAAAATGAAGAGCATAATCAAACTAGTACTTAAACACTAAAAACAAAAATTGAGATTTTTTTTTTCTTTTTTAAACTAGACTGGCCCCCTTAATAACCATACACAACGTAAAGAATTACGAAAACGACTTACCGTTCTGGCAGTTCTTGTCTTCATATCCAGGTACACAGGTACAATTATAGTCATTTAAGAGATCTACACATGTACCGTTGTTAACACACGGGTTAGAAGCACATTCATCCGTCTCTGATAAAAGTAAGAAGAAATAGAAATGTATTTTAAACACAAAGTGCAAGTTGCATTATCTTGACTGTATATGAACAGTGCTTGCATTTCCATTTTCTTGATCTCGTTCTTTAACAATTCAGTGTGTTTTATTTTACGTATATTTGAATGATTTGCTACTTGTTAATTGTATCGCGAACAGTTCTGGTACGGTCCTACAAAAGAAAGAGCATTGCTTTGCTTTAGTACCTTTATGTTTGAGGGGACCAGTCTGGTAAAATACAGTGAAATGCAAGTTGATAAAGAATTCTTAATAAATCATTACTTGATATAGCAAACTACTATGAACCATATATTTCTGGAAAGCTGAGACAATAATTTGTTTTGAGAAAGTTATTTTCCTCATTAAATATGCAAATTATATACAAATTGCTCAAGGACATGAATATTAAAAAATATGTAGTGCTTGTTCTTTGTACTATTACTGTAATTGTAATAACGATATCAAGGCACTTGTTTGTGATTTTGATAGTACATTTGTATGCACAACAATCCTATGACACCGTTTGTATAATTTTCATCATTTACATAAAATTATGATATTTCAGAGAAAAAACAGAAACTCGAATGATTTTTGGAAATGATTTTGCTTGTGACGTATGTATGGGCAAAAAACATGATAGGATTGTTTGTTATATGAAAGCTTATGTTTCTGCCAATTTTGAAATAATTCTGATGAATATTTTTCAAGTTACAGCATTTTTTGTCAAAAATTTATAATTCAGAGATAATTAGCATAGTATAAAGGTACTTCAAACTCAGTTTCCTACAATAAATTGTGTCCAAAATGGGACAACTTGGCCTGCAGTCGCAAGTTCAGTTGCACTAGAGTGCCTCCATGGAGGCAGCTTTCTTAGCATGTACTCAAATGCACTGAACGTACAAGGCCAATAGATGGCAGCAAACACATAAGTACCCTGTCAGTTACATCCAGAGGTCCATTGAAACACTAAAAAGTGTACAATTTTGAATGTTTTTTGAATAATTTTGGACCAAAATTATTCACTTCCGGTCTGATTATTGACTTTCCTGAAATTTTCTTTGCCCTAAAATACAATCGAATACTACAGAATATCATGAAAACAGCAATTGAAAAATGAAGAGCATAATCAAACTAGTACTTAAACACTAAAAACAAAAATTGAGATTTTTTTTTTCTTTTTTAAACTAGACTGGCCCCCTTAATAACCATACACAACGTAAAGAATTACGAAAACGACTTACCGTTCTGGCAGTTCTTGTCTTCATATCCAGGTACACAGGTACAATTATAGTCATTTAAGAGATCTACACATGTACCGTTGTTAACACACGGGTTAGAAGCACATTCATCCGTCTCTGATAAAAGTAAGAAGAAATAGAAATGTATTTTAAACACAAAGTGCAAGTTGCATTATCTTGACTGTATATAAACAGTGCTTGCATTTCTATTTTCTTGATCTCGTTCTTTAACAATTCAGTGTGTTTTATTTTACGTATATTTGAATGATTTGCTACTTGTTAATTGTATCGCGAACAGTTCTGGTACGGTCCTACAAAAGAAAGAGTATTGCTTTGCTTTAGTACCTTTATGTTTGAGGGGACCAGTCTGGTAAAATACAGTGAAATGCAAGTTGATAAAGAATTCTTAATAAATCATTACTTGATATAGCAAACTACTATGAACCATATATTTCTGGAAAGCTGAGACAATAATTTGTTTTGAGAAAGTTATTTTTCTCATTAAATATGCAAATTATATACAAATTGCTCAAGGACATGAATATTAAAAAAATATGTAGTGCTTGTTCTTTGTACTATTACTGTAATTGTAATAACGATATCAAGGCACTTTTTTGTGATTTTGATAGTACATTTGTATGCACAACAATCCTATGACACCGTTTGTATAATTTTCATCATTTACATAAAATTATGATATTTCAAAGAAAAAACAGAAACTCGAATGATTTTTGGAAATGATTTTGCTTGTGACGAATGTATGTGCAAAAACCATGATAGGATTGTTTGTTATATGAAAGCTTATGTTTCTGCCAATTTTGAAATAATTCTGATGAATATTTTTCAAGTTACAGCATTTTTTGTCAAAAATTTATAATTCAGAGATAATTAGCATAGTATAAAGGTACTTCAAACACAGTTTCCTACAATAAATTGTATCCAAAATGGGATAACTTGGCCTGCAGTCGCGAGTTCAGTTGCACTAGAGTGCCTCCATGGAGGCAGCTTTCTTAGCATGTACTCAAATGCACTGAACGTACAAGGCCAATAGATGGCAGCAAACACATAAGTACCCTGTCAGTTACATCCAGAGGTCCATTGAAACACTAAAAAGTGTACAATTTTGACTGTTTTTTGAATAATTTTGGACCAAAATTATTCACTTCCGGTCTGATTATTGACTTTCCTGAAATTTTCTTTGCCCTAAAATACAATCGAATACTACAGAATATCATGAAAACAGCAATTGAAAAATGAAGAGCATAATCAAACTAGTACTTAAACACTAAAAACAAAAATTGAGATTTTTTTTTTCTTTTTTAAACTAGACTAGCCCCCTTAATAACCATACACAACGTAAAGAATTACGAAAACGACTTACCGTTCTGGCAGTTCTTGTCTTCATATCCAGGTACACAGGTACAATTATAGTCATTTAAGAGATCTACACATGTACCGTTGTTAACACACGGGTTAGAAGCACATTCATCCGTCTCTGATAAAAGTAAGAAGAAATAGAAATGTATTTTAAACACAAAGTGCAAGTTGCATTATCTTGACTGTATATGAACAGTGCTTGCATTTCCATTTTCTTGATCTCGTTCTTTAACAATTCAGTGTGTTTTATTTTACGTATATTTGAATGATTTGCTACTTGTTAATTGTATCGCGAACAGTTCTGGTACGGTCCTACAAAAGAAAGAGCATTGCTTTGCTTTAGTACCTTTATGTTTGAGGGGACCAGTCTGGTAAAATACAGTGAAATGCAAGTTGATAAAGAATTCTTAATAAATCATTACTTGATATAGCAAACTACTATGAACCATATATTTCTGGAAAGCTGAGACAATAATTTGTTTTGAGAAAGTTATTTTCCTCATTAAATATGCAAATTATATACAAATTGCTCAAGGACATGAATATTAAAAAATATGTAGTGCTTGTTCTTTGTACTATTACTGTAATTGTAATAACGATATCAAGGCACTTGTTTGTGATTTTGATAGTACATTTGTATGCACAACAATCCTATGACACCGTTTGTATAATTTTCATCATTTACATAAAATTATGATATTTCAGAGAAAAAACAGAAACTCGAATGATTTTTGGAAATGATTTTGCTTGTGACGTATGTATGGGCAAAAAACATGATAGGATTGTTTGTTATATGAAAGCTTATGTTTCTGCCAATTTTGAAATAATTCTGATGAATATTTTTCAAGTTACAGCATTTTTTGTCAAAAATTTATAATTCAGAGATAATTAGCATAGTATAAAGGTACTTCAAACTCAGTTTCCTACAATAAATTGTGTCCAAAATGGGACAACTTGGCCTGCAGTCGCAAGTTCAGTTGCACTAGAGTGCCTCCATGGAGGCAGCTTTCTTAGCATGTACTCAAATGCACTGAACGTACAAGGCCAATAGATGGCAGCAAACACATAAGTACCCTGTCAGTTACATCCAGAGGTCCATTGAAACACTAAAAAGTGTACAATTTTGAATGTTTTTTGAATAATTTTGGACCAAAATTATTCACTTCCGGTCTGATTATTGACTTTCCTGAAATTTTCTTTGCCCTAAAATACAATCGAATACTACAGAATATCATGAAAACAGCAATTGAAAAATGAAGAGCATAATCAAACTAGTACTTAAACACTAAAAACAAAAATTGAGATTTTTTTTTTCTTTTTTAAACTAGACTGGCCCCCTTAATAACCATACACAACGTAAAGAATTACGAAAACGACTTACCGTTCTGGCAGTTCTTGTCTTCATATCCAGGTACACAGGTACAATTATAGTCATTTAAGAGATCTACACATGTACCGTTGTTAACACACGGGTTAGAAGCACATTCATCCGTCTCTGATAAAAGTAAGAAGAAATAGAAATGTATTTTAAACACAAAGTGCAAGTTGCATTATCTTGACTGTATATAAACAGTGCTTGCATTTCTATTTTCTTGATCTCGTTCTTTAACAATTCAGTGTGTTTTTTTTTACGTATATTTGAATGATTTGCTACTTGTTAATTGTATCGCGAACAGTTCTGGTACGGTCCTACAAAAGAAAGAGTATTGCTTTGCTTTAGTACCTTTATGTTTGAGGGGACCAGTCTGGTAAAATACAGTGAAATGCAAGTTGATAAAGAATTCTTAATAAATCATTACTTGATATAGCAAACTACTATGAACCATATATTTCTGGAAAGCTGAGACAATAATTTGTTTTGAGAAAGTTATTTTTCTCATTAAATATGCAAATTATATACAAATTGCTCAAGGACATGAATATTAAAAAAATATGTAGTGCTTGTTCTTTGTACTATTACTGTAATTGTAATAACGATATCAAGGCACTTTTTTGTGATTTTGATAGTACATTTGTATGCACAACAATCCTATGACACCGTTTGTATAATTTTCATCATTTACATAAAATTATGATATTTCAAAGAAAAAACAGAAACTCGAATGATTTTTGGAAATGATTTTGCTTGTGACGAATGTATGTGCAAAAACCATGATAGGATTGTTTGTTATATGAAAGCTTATGTTTCTGCCAATTTTGAAATAATTCTGATGAATATTTTTCAAGTTACAGCATTTTTTGTCAAAAATTTATAATTCAGAGATAATTAGCATAGTATAAAGGTACTTCAAACACAGTTTCCTACAATAAATTGTATCCAAAATGGGATAACTTGGCCTGCAGTCGCGAGTTCAGTTGCACTAGAGTGCCTCCATGGAGGCAGCTTTCTTAGCATGTACTCAAATGCACTGAACGTACAAGGCCAATAGATGGCAGCAAACACATAAGTACCCTGTCAGTTACATCCAGAGGTCCATTGAAACACTAAAAAGTGTACAATTTTGACTGTTTTTTGAATAATTTTGGACCAAAATTATTCACTTCCGGTCTGATTATTGACTTTCCTGAAATTTTCTTTGCCCTAAAATACAATCGAATACTACAGAATATCATGAAAACAGCAATTGAAAAATGAAGAGCATAATCAAACTAGTACTTAAACACTAAAAACAAAAATTGAGATTTTTTTTTTTCTTTTTTAAACTAGACTGGCCCCCTTAATAACCATACACAACGTAAAGAATTACGAAAACGACTTACCGTTCTGGCAGTTCTTGTCTTCATATCCAGGTACACAGGTACAATTATAGTCATTTAAGAGATCTACACATGTACCGTTGTTAACACACGGGTTAGAAGCACATTCATCCGTCTCTGATAAAAGTAAGAAGAAATAGAAATGTATTTTAAACACAAAGTGCAAGTTGCATTATCTTGACTGTATATGAACAGTGCTTGCATTTCCATTTTCTTGATCTCGTTCTTTAACAATTCAGTGTGTTTTATTTTACGTATATTTGAATGATTTGCTACTTGTTAATTGTATCGCGAACATTTATGGTACGGTCCTACAAAAGAAAGAGTATTGCTTTGCTTTAGTACCTTTATGTTTGAGGGGACCAGTCTGGTAAAATACAGTGAAATGCAAGTTGATAAAGAATTCTTAATAAATCATTACTTGATATAGCAAACTACTATGAACCATATATTTCTGGAAAGCTGAGACAATAATTTGTTTTGAGAAAGTTATTTTTCTCATTAAATATGCAAATTATATACAAATTGCTCAAGGACATGAATATTAAAAAAATATGTAGTGCTTGTTCTTTGTACTACTACTGTAATTGTAATAACGATATCAAGGCAATTTTTTGTGATTTTGATAGTACATTTGTATGCACAACAATCCTATGACACCGTTTGTATAATTTTCATCATTTACATAAAATTATGATATTTCAAAGAAAAAACAGAAACTCGAATGATTTTTGGAAATGATTTTGCTTGTGACGTATGTATGTGCAAAAACCATGATAGGATTGTTTGTTGTATGAAAGCTTATGTTTCTGCCAATTTTGAAATAATTCTGATGAATATTTTTCAAGTTACAGCATTTTTTGTCAAAAATTTATAATTCAGAGATAATTAGCATAGTATAAAGGTACTTCAAACACAGTTTCCTACAATAAATTGTATCCAAAATGGGATAACTTGGCCTGCAGTCGCGAGTTCAGTTGCACTAGAGTGCCTCCATGGAGGCAGCTTTCTTAGCATGTACTCAAATGCACTCTGAACGTACAAGGCCAATAGATGGCAGCAAACACATTAGTACCCTGTCAGTTACATCCAGAGGTCCATTACAACACTAAAAAGTGTACAATTTTGACTGTTTTTTTTAATAATTTTGGACCAAAATTATTCACTTCCGGTCTGATTATTGACTTTCCTGAAATTTTCTTTGCCCTAAAATACAATCGAATACTACAGAATATCATGAAAACAGCAATTGAAAAATGAAGAGCATAACGTCGGCCTTATGCCAAAAGGGCCTTAACCCGATTTTGGGGGTTATTGAGTTATTAATATCACCTTGTAGATTTCATCATTCTCTTTAAAATGATGTGCTTCACTTGTTGAAATTCGATTTATTTATGAAGATAATTATGAATTTCAAAAGGGCCTTAACGCGTATCTCATCTTTTTCCTTACGCCAAAAGGGCCTTAACCTACACGGATGATCCATTTGCGTTAGGAGGGCCTTTCTGGCAAACCAAAGGTGTTGCGAAACAAGAAAATTTCCTTATGCCAAAAGGGCGCTAACTATGCGCGCGTACGCGCGCATAGTTACGCGCATAGTTACGCGTACGATAACGGCAGGTTAAGGCACTTTTGGCATAACGCCGCGTAGGTTACGCCCCTTTTGGCATAATGCCGAGTAGGTTACGGCCCTTCTGGCATAACATACGCTAACATACGCTACATTCAAGCCTCATGCCAAAAAGGCCCTAACATATTTTTTGCACATAGCATGTACAATTCTGAATATTTTATAACAAATTTAACACATTTCATGTAAAACTTAATAACTTAACACATTTATCGAAATTGGCTTCAAAAGCAAAAAAACGACCACAAACTTTTGATTATTAGAGAGGCCAAAACCTTTAAACGCGATTATCTCGGAATGGCCAAAAGCAGTTAAGGCCCTTTTGGCATAAGGCCGACGATAATCAAACTAGTACTTAAACACTAAAAACAAAAATTGAGATTTTTTTTTTTTTTTTTAACTAGACTGGCCCCCTTAAATAACCATACACAACGTAAAGAATTACGAAAACGACTTACCGTTCTGGCAGTTCTTGTCTTCATATCCAGGTACACAGGTACAATTATAGTCATTTAAGAGATCTACACATGTACCGTTGTTAACACACGGGTTAGAAGCACATTCATCCGTCTCTGATAAAAGTAAGAAGAAATAGAAATGTATTTTAAACACAAAGTGCAAGTTGCATTATATCGACTGTATGAACAGTGCATGTATTTTTATTGTCTTGATCTCATTCTTTAACAATTCAGTATGTTGTATTCACATATATTTTAATGATTTGCTATTTGTTAATTGTATCGCGAACATTTCTGGTACGGTACTACCAAATAGTATTGCTTTGCTTTAGTACCTTTATGTTTGAGGGGACCAGTCTGGTAAAATACAGTGAAATGCAAATTGATACAGAATTCGTAATAGATCATTACGTGATATTAATAGTAAACTACTATGAACCATATATTTCTGGAGAGTTGAGGCAATGGAGAATCTAAAACATTCTGAGAAAGTTATTTATCTCATTTGATATGCAAATTATATTCAAATTACTCAAGGACATGAATATTCAAAAAAATATTGTAGTGCTGGTTCTTTGTACTAGTACTGTAATTGTAATAACGATATCAAGGCACTTTTTGTGATTTTGATAGTACATTTGTATGCACACAATCCTATGACACCGTTTGTATAATTTTCATCATTTACATAAAATTATGATATTTCAAAGAAAAAACAGAAACTCGAATGATTTTTGAAAATGATTTTGCTTGTGACGTTTGTATGTGCAATAACCATGATAGGATTGTTTGTTGCATGAAAACTTATGTTTTTGCCAATTTTGAAATAATTCTGATTTCAAGAATTCAAGTTACAGTATTTTTTGTCAAAAATTTATAATTCAGAGATAATTAGCATATTATAAAGGTACTTCAAACACAGTTTCCTACAATAAATTGTATCCAAAATGGGATAACTTGGCCTGCAGTCGCGAATTCAGTTGCACTAGAGTGCCTCCATGGAGGCAGCTTTCTTAGCATGTACTCAATGCACTGAACGTACAAGGCCAATAGATGGCAGCGAACACATTAGTACCCTGTCAGTTACATCTAAAGGTCCATTGCAACACTAAAAGTGTACAATTTTGACTGTTTTTAAATAATTTTGGACCAAAATTGTTCACTTCCGGTCTGATTATTGGCTTTCCTGAAATTTTCTTTGCCCTACTACTACAGAATATCATGAAAACAGCAATTGATAAATGAAGAGCATAATCAAACTACTACTAAAGCACTAAAAACAAAAATGTAAGAGATCTACACATGTACCATTGTTATCACACGGGTTAGAAGCACATTCATCCGGTTCTGATAAAAGTAGGAAGTGACAAAAGTAGAGATCAGAAAGTGCAATTGGCCTAATTTGTGGACAAAATATGATAGTAGACTAGCCAAGACGTATGTATCCATTATTCTTTTGGGGGAGGGCATATATTTAGGTGTAAACAGTGGTGTTAGGATGGGTTCAGGTATAATTGTCTCACTGGTGCATTGGAGACCTTCGGGGGAGAAACAGTAAAAGCAGGGTGTGAGAGGGGGTCGTAAAACCTTCTTCTCATAACGCATGGTCCCTTAATCCCCCTCCCCCATCCCTTCCCCTCTACCCCTCTCCCCCTTTTCCTCCTCTTCCCTCTCTCTGTCCATTTTCTTTCTCTCTCTCTGTCTCAGAGTTTGTGTGTCTCTCCCCCTCTTCTCTCCCCTCTCTCTTCTTTCTTTCTTTCATTTGTCATCACCAGTTGATTGGAAGAGGGTACGTGCTTCCCATTGGTCTATAGCTACGCCACTATAGATATACTTCTACTTCTACTTCTACGACGATACTCAGCAGGATCCATAAGTCAGGATGTAGTGATGAGGAATAAACTATCTAGTTCTTTGTCTAGATGCTTGGTGGAAGCGCTCCCTTGAAGCCCTCCCTTGAAGCATAGGAAAAAGAATTTGAACTTTCTGAGAAAAGTTAGGGGATATTCATGAAATATCTTACCATTGCACGATGGAATGTCAGGTGTAAACATTCCTATTTTACAGATGATGGATTTATTGTGAGTGATGGTGTATCCTTCGTCACACTTAAACATGCACACTGTATTACATGGTACATTAGCATTGGTCTCGCAGGTGTCATTAATCAGCGATGTGAGGTTCCCAGGTAGTTCCCCGACATAGCAATCAGCTTCATATGGAAACGAGATGGAAATAATCAGAGCGGTAAATATAGACACTGTATTACAACTATTGGCTTTCAACTATTTTTGTTCTCGATCACAGAGAATACTTTTAAAAGACAAAATATCATTTTAATTTGAATATAGCATTTCAGCTGATTACATAAGGGAAAAACGTATTCCAACAATAGCTTTAGGTAACACCCAAAGATGTAAGGAAGAGCGTCGAGAGAGGGTGGTATCACCCCTAGTCTATGTGTATATAACAATACGACTATGGGAGTCATCCATTCATGAACATTTTATTAAAGACGGTTTTAATTTAATTCTAACATATCAATCGTGTTAACAAACATTTCGTTGAATATTTATACAAAGTTGCGCAATCAGTCGGAACAAGCTGAATTCAAAAACGAGGGGGAAATCAGAGGTATACTGGATATTCCCATATATCTTTATCACGTTATTTATTATTGCAATAAAAACGTTGATACTTACTATCGACTGTAAACTCGTGAAGACCCGATCTTAATATCACCTTGGAAAGGTGGAAATCTTCCCAAGTTTATACCTTTAGGCATCTATTATACATTGGTGGAATGGAGCTAAAACTGATGCTTTGAATGATATGCTCGTAATACATGAGGCGTTATTTTGATTGCGTCAAACATTCCGCATGGAATTGAGCTGATAAGGGTAGTAGCCAATACGCAGGAACTTAAACAAAATGTTTACTCCTGTTATTATGCAACCACTCTTTGTAGGATACCACTTTTCGCATGGCGCATCAAAGGCTGCAGCACTCCATGACGCAGCCCTACGTCAGCTAAATGACACCTCGTGTGCAACATGATTGTATTGTACTCACCAAATGAAGGTCTGGGGGGTCGTGACGTCAATGGAGAATAGCATGTACAGTTACTGTCTGGCACAGTACACACATCCTCATCGGATAGCGCCACTACATACAGCATGGTCAGTACTGCAACGCATATGGCTGACTGCCAAAGCTGGGAATACATAGGACAAAGATTACATTCAATATTGTTATTGTGATTCGGTGACAATAACATTATGGTTTTACTGCCAATAAGATGCTACTACACCTTCCCTCTTCTGACGCCCAATGCCACTGTTATTACCTTTTTTTTTTAAATCTTAATCTTATCTTCTTTACATGATTGTATATGATTGTTCTTTTTTGTTTACGGGCCTTACTTATTTGGTTGTAAAGGCAGGCGCGGATCCAGGATTTCTTAGGGGAGGGGGCCCAACTTTCTGCATTTTTGTTTGCTCCCGAAAATTGGAAAATCGCGCCGGCCAAAAAGTCGCTCAGTGGGGGGGGGGGGGGGGGGGGGGGGGGGGGGTAGTGAGCACAATTTTTTTTTTTTTTTGGTCCTCGAAAATTTTTCAATTTGCACCCCCCCCCCCCCTTGAGCGCCAGGGGGGGGGGGGCCAACCCCCCAAAAAGGTAAAAATCACGTGATTTTACATGATTTTTTTCTCAACGGGGGGGGGGGGGGCCGGGCCCCCCGGGCCCCCCTGGATCCGCTACTGTGTAAAGGAAATACAATTTCCTATTGGTACCTAATTAAAGTGGGTTGAAAATTATGTAAATGAGGAGGCGCTCATGCCTGAGCGCTCACATGAATTTTACACGTTGAATGCGTGGCGTGAGACGCCATTAACCTTATTCGACGATGAGCGAGCTAGACGCCGTTTAAAAAGTAACCAAATAAATACTTTTATAACATAGTGATGGGTGAGTTAAGAGGAGGTTATAGTTCAGTTCTGTCAATGTAGTGGAGGTTGATAGACGTGAATTATACGTATTTCAATACGTTGTTAATGTATTGATGTTGTCTTGCTTTACTTTACGGTGTCAATTTTCGACACGTATTTACTTTTTTAATAAATTAGACATCACAGTCATGATTCCTGAATTCAATTTGTTTATTTTATTATGTGTTTGTACACTTGGAGCGTGACGCGCCGGTGGTGCGGTGCATGAGGTGACATGATACCCATTGATGTAAAATCATATTATGATGGATATATTGTGTGTACATACATAGTCGATTGCATGTCATATTAATAACATAGTTTTCTTGATTAGAACACAGGTGTTGACAGGGATTACTCCCCCTGATGCCTACCTGGACTCTGGTAAGTCCTCCGTTATGCAACACGTCATGCAAAGACATGTTTCGTTCGCGCGTCTAGTGCTCGTCGCTGAAGTTCGGTGCTCCCCAAAAGGTAATAAGGATTATGTTTACTAACATAGTTCTAACACACGGCAGGTTAAATAGGAAAGTATTTATTACCGTTTGAGCCTGCGAATAAGTAAATAACTATTATTGAATTGAGACACAGAAATATGTGATCATGACAGTGAACAAAATACAATAAGACAAAATCATATTGAGCATTTAACCCTAAAAGGGCCGGGCTATTTGAGGTCTTAGTACGGCCGGGGGCCATTATGGGCCACCTTAAGATCTTAAGATCTTAAGCCGTGAAAAGGCCGATCTCCGCGAAAATTTGCACGCATGTCAAGTGAAGTGTATAGAATAATATAATGATTTCAATTTTTTGAAAAATTAACTTATTTGCATATTTATGGTAATTTATGCAAATAAGGTCATAAAATCACATTTTTACCTATAAATCATATATTATTCATAGTTAAGCATTCTTTTTCACCACATATATTCATTAGATCATTTAGAATAATAATACGACAAAAAAATGGAAGAGTCAGCTTATTCCTTATGTTATCTTTTGTTTTGATAATTTCTTATGTATTTCATTGCTTTTTTAACTTATGCATTTTTGTTTTTGTTGTTTTATTTCATTTCTTACTACAATTCAGCTATTTTGACCCCAAAACAACCACCTAATCATTAAACAAGACCCAATAACCAATGTTTGATCTATTTTTAGAAAAAAATGATATTTCCATATGTTTTGTACACAAATCACAAAAATGAGCGAAATTCGGGCTGACATGCAAAGACAAAAGGTCACGTGACCTTGAAACTGTAGGTCCAATTTTCAAAAAAAAATTTTTAAAGATGCGCAAGACTCGAAAGAAAAAAAGTCAGCGAACGGCGGGGCGCCATCCATAAGCGTTCCCGAAGAATCGGAAAAATCGTGGAGGGGGCGGGGGGGACCATAATTGCCCCCCCCTCCGGCCTTATTAGGGTTAAGTAGATGAGTGTGTACTTTATCCCACATAACCATTTTGAAAAGATTTTCAGATCACGCAAAATATGCAAAGTAACGAGCCCTTTCAAGGCGCTCCTTTGTCAAACCATTGATATTGTCAAGGTAAATTTGACTACCAGAATGGCAGAAGTTATCATAAGTGACTTTTGTATATTCCTACAGAGTGGTCAGTATGGTTATGGCAGATATAAACACTCCAATTGATTGAAGATGTGCGTTGTGCGTGTTCATGGATCAGAATGATCAGGTCAGGCCTATACTGTAAAGCCAACAAAGGCATTGTATTGAGCGCTAAATATATATATATATACATATATAAATCAAAATTATTGTCATTCTTTTAATATCATTAATAATTATAAGAGGTGAAACGGGAAAATTACAGTAACTGAATGTACTTTTCGTCTCTCTTTCCTTATCCCTTTTAGAAGTTGACAGCGGCCCACACATCCCATGTTCCGACTGAGTCACATTAGTAGTCCTTAACAGTATGCAGAGGCGACTGATGTTCCATTTCTTCTATTCTGTCCAAAGTATGCTTTTGCTCCCGATGTGCTTTGAAGTTCGGAGACATGTCCTTTTATGGGCTGCTCTACTCTAACAGCCTCTTAACCAATGAGGCGTGCCCACCCAATAGAGAATCAAAGATAATCTTTCGATGAAAAACTGTGGTTACCTTTACTGTAACCAAACACCCGCCAAACATGAACAGTCTGTATGTGATTACTTATACCTTATACCGTATGCCTATTTAAGTGCAAGTCAATTATAGATTCATAAGGACGTAGAACCCATAAAGTAATGATTACCCTGCCTTATCCTTTATTTTATACCCTTTGTACAATTCATATCTATCTTTGTGTTTATCATAAACATTAATAATCAGTCAATGGAAACAGTACTGAGCATGATCCAGTACTGTATGCAGACCACTCGATGTATTGACCCTTTTACACGATGATCGAAGCATCGCCATTTCTCCAACATCCCGATATTACGATGGAACTTAGACCACGGGGTCGTAACTTGTAAGGCAAAATAAATGCATACATAGGATAGTCTTGTTGTACGAGTTCCTTCCAGTGTAAAGATTTCCATACTTCAGTCAAATCACGATTTTAGACATTGGTGTAAACGAGCTACAAGTGTATTTACTCGTATGAGAATATTTGTACAAGATTCTATATAAACAGTAATGTTTACTCTGCAAATACCAAGATTCATAGCACATTTTAAACAGTTTAAATACATTTATATTTGTCATGAATACTCTGTGATCATAACTGAACAGAATATTTTTGGTTATATGCGAAACACTTTTCAAAAAGGCAAAGAAGTACTGTTTTCAAATATTACATTGCCCAAATTCAGAAACCTATACACATTAGGATATTGGTGACAGGGGGGCATCAAACTTCTCTTGGACATTGGACTAAGAGCTAAGTATATGACTATAAAATAACTAGGTTACGGACATAATGTGTGAGTCCGTAGCAAAATTTCGGGAAAACCCCTTTGGTCTAACGTGGTAGCTGGACTATTCTTGCTTGTATAGTACCTTTAGCCTGTATTTATATTGTTGTTTAACAGAGAGATGAGGTCAAGCACTTTGGAATATATGTATTGTCATTTTATCAAAGCAACAAAAGACCCGGTTCTAAGGTGATGCATGTAGGTTATTTTGAAATAGACAATATCCCCAATTTCACATACAATGAATTCAGACCTACTATACAAAGTATTGGATATAGATCATTAACCAAAGCACTGTGTTATTCTGTAAATGATCATTCATAAAGCATAGATTAGTCTAGGGTATTCTAAAACGTGTTAATGTTATTATTAGAAACATTTTATTCACTTAATATGTTTTATTTGTTTTAAAAAGCAAACAAAACAGATATAGCACAATAATGAAATATAATGTTCATGATCTAGGAATTTTTAAAAAGAACAAACAACAACAAAAGAGGACACTCCCCCTTCCAACAAAAAGATATAATAATGTAGTGTGGAAATACTTTTTTTTTTAAATATTCTTCAATATGACAGAAAATAAAAGGTGAAGATGTCAGATTAGATTTCAAACTTCTAATAGTTTTTACAGCTATACATTTGTTTCTTGTTTCCATTCGTATTATATTTTTAGTTTCTCAATTAATTTAGGAGTAGAACTGTGTAAAAACCTATAAAATGGAATAAACATGTTGAACATAATGTTAATATTCGAAACTCTGTTTAATAATTTCGAGAAAAAAACTTTATAAAAACTACATAAAAAAAACAAATCCTATTTCAAATCAGGTTGACAACGTCCGGTACAGCTGATTTCTATGCATGGTATTTTTTTCCC